TCTTGAGTTTCTACATGATTTGTATGGATTAATTCTTCCAATTGATCTTTTATTTCTATCCATATGTTATGTATGTTAGAATGAATGGTCATGTGCTTACACTAGGTTTTATGAGTTTAATGCATGTTTATGTGTGTTGAAATTATAAATCTAGTAATGGTCAAGGCATGGTTCTTAATCGATTACTCTTATGGTTTGTTTGATGATGAATATGTGTAGGTTTTGTATTTGCAACTCCTTTGCCAGCCGGAGGTTAACTAATAGAGCTTCATACTCCGCCTCATTGTTTGTGGTTGGGACCTCAAGTCTGATCGCTTGGGTTGAGAGTGTTCCGTCTAGAGTTTTAATTACTACGCCGACCCCTAACCACGACTTGTCCTTTAATCGCAGTGCGAGGCTTGTAATGTATCTCGAAAGGGTTCAGCTCGATCGTCCACTTGGCGATCCTCCCGGAGAGGCTCGGCTTATGCAAAATTGCCCTTAAGGGATAACTGGTTAGCACAATTATTGGATGAGACTCAAAGTAGTGTCGCATCTTTGTTTTCGAATTAACTAAAGCGAGAACAGTCTTTTCCATTCTTCGGTACCTCCATTCGGCATCCCCCATTGTCTTACTTGTGTAGAACATTGGTTTTTGCTTCCCGTTCTCTTCCCTTATCAATGTTGCGCTGGTTGCCACGTTAGACATGGCGAGATACAGGTACAATGTCTAGCCCTGTACGGGGGCAGAGAGGATCGGCGGTTTCTGCATATACTCTTTCAAGTTGGCTAAGGCCTCTTGTTGCTCTGCCTCGCAAGTCTGTTTCCCTTTGGCTCTAATAGCGTTAAAGAAAGGCTTGCACCTATCTGAGAGACACGATATGAATCTACTCAGAGTAGCAATTCTTCCTGTCAGGACTTGTACATCTTTGAGAGACCTTGGCTCTTCATTCTGTAATAGCGTTGTAGCTTGGATTGGGCTGGCCTCAATGCCTCTGTTGTTGACTATATGGCCTAAAAATTGGCCTGAAGAAACCCCAAATGAACATTTTGAAGGATTCAGTCTCATATTATGCCTCCTCAGAGTTTCGAACACATCTTGTAAGTCACGAATGTGATCTCGCTTCAACTTGCTCTTTACTACCATGTCATCGATATAGGACTCCAATATTCAGCCCATTTGGCTCTTAAATATTTTATTAATGAGACGTTAGTAAGTTGCCCCAGTATTTTTCAATCCGAATGGCATGACTCTGTAGCAGTACGTTCCTCGTTCTGTGATGAATGAGGTTTTCTCTTCATCCTCTGTGTCCATTGGGATCTGGTTGTATCCGGAATATGCATCCAAAAACGTTAGCCGTTCGAAACCAGTAGTGGCATCTACCATTTAGTCTATCTTTGGGAAGGGGTACCTATCTTTGGGACAAGCCTTGTTCAGATTGGTGAAGTTAATGCACACTCTCCATTTTCCATTCTTTTTCTGAATTACCACCACGTTGGACAACTAACGTGGGTAGTGCAATTCTCTTTTGAACCCTGCCTCCAGCAGGCGGTCAACCTCCTCGGTTATGATTCGATTTCTTTCTGGGGCAAATCTCCTTTGCTTCTGGCGAACTAAGCGAAAACTTGGGTCAACACTAAGGCTGTGACATGCAACCTCGGAATGCACTCCAGGCATATCTAAATGGCTCCAGGCGAACACGTCTGAGTTGGCATTGAGTAAGTTTGTTAGCTTAGCCTTCTCTTCCTTGGACTGCAGGGAACCAATCCTGACCACTCTATCTAGGTGGGCTGGGTCGATTTGAACCTCATCTAATTGTTCCTCCACCTCCTCACTCCATTGATCGTGATCGGACGAAGGGGATAGTAATTGCTATTTGTCACCTTGGGTTTGGGCTATGCCCTTCTCCTTGTGCTTAGACCTGATAGTTACCGCATAACATTCCTTTACTGCCACTTTGTCTCCTCGGATGCCAAACACATTACTTTCGTCTGGGCTAAGGCATCGCATTACTTGGTGCAGGGTAGATGGTACTCCTTGCATGCGGTGGATCCATCCCCTTCCCATCAGAAGGTTGTACATGGGGCTTTGTTACATGGACTCTTCAAAAGTAGTGAAGTACTCATGTCGGACACATATCCCTCGGACATAGGTATGGGATATATGTCCGACACTTTTGGTTGGACATGTACTTAAAAAGCATAGCCAGTCATTCAATTACATTATATTATTACTTTAAAATGAGTTAAATGCCTATATTGAACATTATATCGATAAAAATATTACTTTGCTCTAGAAAATAATTAATAAAATGAATATTTAGCCGTGTCCGTGTGTCCTTCTGTTTGGAGATTTGATACGTCCGACTAATGGATACACACCCGTATCCGAGTTCATGTAACATAGACGTGGGATGGACATCCACTATGCCGAACTTCTCTTTCAGATTCCTCCGGGCTGCACAAACAAGTAACTCTATTACCCCGATTGGTTCCACTCTCTTCCCATCAAACCCCATCAACGAGTTTCTAGTAGGTTTAACCTGCATTGGGTCGATGTGTAATTGCTCAAATGCAGACTTGGTGATTATGTTTGCACTGCTCCCTGGGTCGATTAAGACTTGCTTCACTAGACAGCTTGCTGCCATGAGGCTAATAACGAGGGGATCCTCATGTAGAGTCTGTACTCTATGCAGATCGGATCCATCAAACTTGATCTGGGTGTCCAAATCCACTCGCCTTACGGTGCTGACGTGGTTCATTCTTCTCAGCTTTTGTGCCTACCTTAGGCATGTTTGAAGTAGTTCTTCAGTTTCCTCATCTCCCTCAGGACGCCCATGGATTGTGTTGATAACTCTTAATGGCTGGACCTCTTGAGGATTCGTCTTGTCATGCACTCTGCCTTGTGGGTTCAGTTTTGGAGTCTGAGTGGAATTGAATTGTCCCTTAGGCAACACATAGTTGGAGAATTCTCCTTTAGCTATCATCATCTCCGCCTGCCTTCTGAGATTCCTGCACTCGTTGGTCTGATGTCCAAAATCACAATGAAAGGCAAAGTGCTTGGATTGGTCTCTCTACTCGATCAGTTGTCTTATAGGCTGTGGTGGTGTGAACTTGGTCTTGTTGTCTTGATAAAGCTTAGCTAAAGAGGATCTAAGTGGTGTGACGGCTTTGTCTTCCGTCTGGCACTTTGGTGGCCTCCATGGGCTTGTGGTGGCGCTTGGCTCGGTAACTTCTACCCTTTGATCTTATCACGCGAACAGCTCTCAACGGTGACCATAGTGGCCTGATGCACCCGCATGGCCTCCTCCTCTTCCATTTGTATGTAGCCATGTGCTTTTTGCCCCACATCACCCATATTCTTAGGCGTCTTGTGCGCTAACGCACGATAGAATAGAGTGCCGGGAATGAGAGCCAGCAAGCTTCAACTGCCGCTCGCTGATCACATCCTTCGACCATGCTCAACTCGAGGTTAAATTTGTTGAGGAAAGCCTGCAACCTCTCCCCCTTGTGCTGCCTTATAGTGAATAGGCTGGATACACTCTTTTGGATCTGCTAATTGCCGAAATACTGCGTCATGAACACCTCACATAATAGGTGAAAACCTCCGATGGACCCCCTCAGCAAGTGTTTGAACCACTTAAGAGCTTGTCTGATTAAATTTGTTGGAAATACTCGGCACATTTGGGCATCATCATCATTGTGCAAGGCCATATTCAGCTGGACATGGTAAACGTGATCCATTGGGTCTGTTGAGCCATCGAACGACACAAATGGTGGGATAACCAACTTCCTCGGCTTGGGTGCCTTTAACACTTCCTTAGTGAAAGGTGAATCGACCATATCAGTGAAAGCCTTGGTGGCCATGTCTGCTGGTGTTGGTGCCTTCAGATCCTTAAGCCATACGTCCACCTCTCGCTGAACCTGTGTTCGGATATCTGTCTTTGATATTTCTTCGAACGTCCGGTGTGTGCCTGACCTCTGAGCAATCATTTTTCTAGTGCTCTCCTGATCGACCGGTTGGTCTGTTGGTCTGCCATCAAACTCCCTTTAACGGGGGCATGGTGGACGGACTCAACGCGGTCATAGTGGATGGACCCAACGCGATCGTTCTGAGGGTTGAACTCGTTCACTTCCGCTTGATTCACCGGCGGTGGTGTAAGATGAGGCTCCAACCCACGCTCCAATTGCGATCAGAGCTCTGCGTTCTCTCTACGCAAAATCTCTACGACCTCTGCGTTCTCCTTACGGAGGGTTTGGATCAACTGCCAGAGATCCTCCTGTCGATTGTTCCGGCCAAACTCTTGATGCTGCATGCCCTCTTCGCAGATTATTGTCCCGGAACGTAGCTGTGTCATCAATTGGATCGAAAAACTATTGGAAAATCACTCGTCGACTTCCCACAGACGGCGCCAGATAAAGGTGCAAAAAACTGCTCTCTCTATTTGGAAAGTAATTTATTACACTTCAATCAATCTTTTCTTACATTCTCTCTCCCCTTCTAATTATAGAAGTGTACACTTGCCCTAATTCCTCTCCCAAAATTCTCAATCTTGGGCGAGTCTTCCGTGGACCTCATCTTTGGGCCATAGTGAATGGGAGTTCGTCCCGCGATGCTGAGGAGATTGGGCCTGGTTGGTCTTTCTAAAAAGTGGGTCGGCAGCCCAATAATCTTCTGGGCTGAGTGGACCAGCCTGAAGATGGTCCGGTCCACTTTCTGCCACTTCAACGCCCAATTAACTCTTCTGATAGAAAATGGTTAACTCAAACTTAAATCTAAAAAACCTTGACACTGCTACAAAGGGTTCAAGCTTTTATGGAGTTAAACATAAATATATATACATATATATCTTGAGACTTAAAAAAATAATAATTGTTAAAATTTACATCCTTCTATATTCAAATTCTTCATATAAACTTAAAAGCCAGAAAAAGAGGGAAAGTAAATAAATAAAAGAACAAAAAAGGTAAAGAATTAGCAGAGCCATGTGAGATTTTGAAGTTGCCTTAAACTGAATCACCTAGAATTCATGGCTTAATCTTGCCATGTTTATCTTCTGCTTGAATCACCTAGAATTCAGAGACTTGTATGATTAAAAATGTAATGAGCCTTACCTAAATTGTGTCACTACAAGAGAATTGTCACAATCATAATTGTAAATCAAGTAAAAATTATGGTGCATAAGCTGCAATATTGCTTAAATTGAAAGATGAGGCATTCAAACCATCCAAAAAAATAACTCATACATGTTTTACCATCCAGACCATTCAGACATTATATCGAACATGTTATGAGTCTTACCTAAATTGTTCATGGTAGGAATTTGAATAAATTTTGTCGATCCTGTGTGTGAAAATTGTCACTATTAACACAAAATTTAAAGGAATGGTGAAAACTTGAAACAAAAAAATTAAAAATTAAAAAAAAAAAGAGAGGAAAAATTAAAGTGTGTATATGTATAAACCTGTTTTGTTTTAGACCTGTTTTTTGTGACATGTATATTTGTATATCGGTATATGCATGTATCTATACTACAACTAGTATAAAATAAAAGTGATGATCCTACCTTGAAGATCAATTATGAGACTGTGATGTTTAATTCTATACATTTTATATTAATTTGTAAAGTTCATAAATAAAATAGTGATTCAGTCAATCATGAGCGAGCTTCGCGTGAAAGAGAGAGTGAAACAATGAGAGATCGATGGTGTTCTGTAAAGACAGAGAGAGATATCAATGGTTTTACCTGAAAACAAAGAGAGAAATCCAGTTGATCTTGAACTTTATATGTTCTGTAGAAGTGAAAATAAAAACATAAAATTACCTGAAAACAAAGAGAAATCCAGTTGATATTGAACTTTATATGTTCTGTAAAAGCGAAAATAAAAACATAAAATCAAGCATTTTATATGAAGGATTTCCTTGAATATGCTTCCTGTATGTATGTATGTTAATGTAGCAGCAGATGCATTATACAAGAGAGAATGCAACTTGGTAGCCCACTTCTTGGGGCAGTTTGCTCTGCCCCACAAATGTTCCATTTCTTTTGTAAGTTTGTATGCCAAGATGGCCAGTAATGTTGTTGTACCTAATTGAATTCTTTACTTTTGTCAATATCTTCTTCTTTTTTTCCTTGTCAAGACACATTAGAAAAATAAATAAAATTCCAAAACATTCTAAACTTTTTTATATAAAAAAAAAAATAAATAAATAAATGATGTTAAATTATAGAATTTAATATTTATATAGTAGGTTTTGTTTTTTATTTATTTTACACTAGATTAATTCTATAGAATGTATATATTGAGGTATAATCATGCAGGTAAACTATGAGTATATGTGTACTGGATTATTTATGGGATTAAAAGAAACTTATATTATTGTGGACTTAAGAGCACCCGTCGACGTATACACGAAGATAATATAAAAGAATTAAGTTTGCACCCGTAATAAAATCAGTTATCACAAAGTGTGAATTTTTTTCCAACCTCACACATAATGGCTTTTCTCTGTCTCATGTAAGAGCTAGACTGTTGTAAAGACGATGTGAAGTGAGACAAAAATTTTCAACTCAAAACACAATCTATAATGAAAATTGTCTCACAAGTAAAACTTTCACAATTTTGTTTTCTAATTATATATATATATATATATTTATACACACATATTTTTTTACCTTTTTCAACAAATTGTATAGAAGAACCAAAAATGTTTATATTGTCATGTCCTAGGTAATGTGAAACTAATTTAAGGATTGTGCGGCCTAGTGGTACCTCCTGATCTTTCCAAGTAAAAGATGGAGAATTCAAGTCTCACTAGGAGCAAAAGGTAATGAAAAACTTATTGATATTCTAATTTCCAAAACACTTCAATGGCAAGTGGGGCCTGGATTGACTGGGAGACTTGTGGAAGTCTTTTTTTTTCTTTTTGGTTTGGTAAAAGACTTATGCAAGTCTACCCATAAGGCCAAGGGGGGAAAAGGCCAACAGAAAAAACAAACCAACAGCAGGGAAAGCCAAAGATTTCAGAATCAGTGCTGGCTCAATATAAGGTAAGCTCTAAGGCAACATTTTAAAACAACTTTTATTATTATTGTTGTTGTTAAAATACTAATATAAGTAACAATTATTGACTTTTATTTTATTTTATGAAAGTTAAGTGTGAATATATTTAAAAGACTGATGAGACTTGCGAAATAAAATATAACACCTACAATGTTCATTCAGAATTTAATTAAGTATTAGTGGGCCTTAACGTATTAAATATATACTAACCTTTTTATGTTCTTTTAAGTACTCCGTAGTTGTTTATAGGCAAGTGTTAATAATCATTAATAATATTTTTAATATTGGGTGGCCTAACTGGTGAGAGTGACAAACAAACAACTCTTCGCAATTAAGTTGGTGTTAATAACACAAGAAGAAATTAAGAACTTCATTAATTGACTGTGATTATGGATAATCAATTATGCATCTTCATAATCACAAAGAACTATGAGTCATTCAACCCAAAAGCGAGGTCAATTGATTTACAGCTCAAACTCATGGTAAAGGTTTGCATCCTTTATTCCATTGCATTCTTGATACAGTGTCCTATGGTTTGCTTGGCAAGTTCCAACACAAACTTGACTACAGATCAATATGCTCTTCTTGCCTTCAATGCCCACATCACTTCTGACCCTGATGATGAGTTGACAAGTAATTGGTCCACCACTTTCTCAGTTTGCAATTGGATTGGTGTGTCTTGTGGTCTCACCTACCAAAGGGTCACAGCCTTGAATCTTGATGATATGGGACTCAAAGGCACCATCACTCCACATCTTGGAAATTTGTCCTTTCTCACATCACTAGACATCAGTCACAATAATTTCAATGACTATATACCCAATAAGATTTGCAAACTCTCTAGATTGAAAGTATTAAACCTGGGTTTTAACAAGCTCACAGGTTTCGTACCATCTAACATATTCAACATTTCTTCTTTGGAAATAATTGCTCTTACAAATAATAGCCTATCTGGAAGCCTGCCGGTAGACATGTGTAGCCATCTTCCTGAACTTGAATACTCTCTCTTTCTCTGAATCAGCTTAACGGCCAAATTCCATCCAATTTATACAGATGCAGGAAACTTCAAGTTCTATCATTGTCGTTCAATGAATTCAATGGCAGCATACCGAGAGAAATTGGAAATCTGACTATGCTCAAGGAGTTGTATCTTGGGAAAAACAGCTTGAAAGGTATGATTTTAATATCAGGTTTAAGTCGAGAGAGAAATTTTGATAAAATGTGCTTGGATTTCCAATGAATTCCAAGGTAAAGTGACCGTTTTTGTAATTTTATGACTTTGATAAGCATTTGTTATTTGGCTAGATGATATCACTTTAATTTTATAAATTTGTGTATTACCTAATCCAAATCACTTCACTTGCACACCCCTAATAATGATAATTATGATTTACAATTATTAGGCAATTGCAAAATGGCTTCCAGTGTGACATTGAGGTAATTAAAAGTTTGCAGACTAGGTCATGTGAGGATGAAAATTGATAAACTTGTCTATCTGTTTCTCTTCTCTAACTTTTCAATCATATTATAAAAAATTTCTAGCCAAGTAGATTTCTTGAGTGCTTTTTCTTTTCTTTTCTTTTTAATTTTATTTTATATTTGTGTGTGTGTGTGTTTTACCTAGACAGATTCGGATATCTTGACATTTAAAGTAGAAAGTTTACATTGGAACTCAGATTCACATATATCTAGTCGGTTTCATCACCTAACGGCACTCATCACTTTTTTTATTCATTACAAGCCAACTAGTTATAACAAGGGAGGAATTTATGTTTTGCTTCTGACAATTTTGCAGGTGTAATTCCATCCGAGATAGGTAATCTTCCACATCTTGAAATATTAAGCTTCCAAAGTGGCTCTATAACAGGGTCCATTCCATCTTCAGTCTTCAACAATTCTTCTTTGAGACGTGTTGATTTCACAAACAACAGCCTGTCAGGAAACCTCCCAGTAACCATCAATAATGATTTCCCTATTCTTGAAGAGCTGTATCTTTCTGAAAATCAGCTCACTGTTTAAATTCCGTCCAACTTGTGGGAATGCAGAGGGCTCCGAGTATTACAATTGTCGTATAATAAATTCACAGGCAGCATATCTAAGAAAATTGGAAACCCTACTTTGCTCAAAGATCTATATTTGAGTGGTAACAGTTTTACAGGTAACCCTCTTTCATACTGCCTCTATTTTGGTCTATGAATGTCTTGTTGGAAGGAAAAATAAATAAAAAAGAACAACGGGAATAGTCTAAAGTTCACATGTACCTTCCACATTTCACTGCCTTTATAAATTTGGTTTTAGTAAATGTATCTCATTTACATAATTATTCTTGATTGAGTAATGCAAGTGTTCACATTGCTACAGGTACATAACCTAATGAGATTGGTAACCTTGATCTTGAAAGATTTAGTATCCATCTAAGCAACCTAACTGGCCTCATTCTGTCCAAAATCTTCAATGTGACAACAATGAAAATCTTTGATTTGAACGACAACCAATTCTCAGGACATCTTCCTTCAACGATGGGGCTTTGGCTTCCCAATCTTGAAAAGCTTTATCTAGGATGGAATAAATTCGGCGGAATAATCCCAAGCACTATATCCAATTGTTCTAAGCTTACTATGCTAGATATGTCAGGCAACTCCTTCACTGGCTCTATACCAAATATGCTTGGTAGTTTAACACTCCTACAACGGCTCTACCTTGGTGAAAATAACTTGACAGTTGAATCTTCTACTCCAGAATTAAGATTTTTCACTGCTTTGACCAATTGCAGACATTTGGAAGTAGTGAGCATAGCAGTAAATCAATTTAATGGCATACTTCCAAATTCACTAGGGAACTTGTCCACTTCTCTACAAATTTTTCAAGCATTTCGATGCAAAATCAAGGGCAGTATCCCCAGTGGAATTGGCAATTTGAGCAGCATGGAAGTCATAAGCTTGGATAGCAACGAGTTAAGCGGACCTATCCCAACAACAATCGGAGGGTTACAGAATCTTGATCATTTGTATCTTGAATACAATAGTCTACAAGGATCTATCCCTGATGATTTCTGCCATTTAACCAACTTGGGAGACTTGTATGCAAGTAACAATAAGCTTTATGGACCGATACCAACATGCTTGGGAGAACTCAAGACTCTAAGAAGACTCTACTTAGACTCCAACCACTTGACTCCCATGATACCTTTAAACTTGTGGAGCCTTAATGATCTAGTGGGTCTAAATTTGTCCGCAAACTCTCTAAGAGGTAATCTACCATTAGATACCGGGAATTTGAAGGTGATAACTCTATTAGACTTGTCATGGAAACAGTTATTAGGTGATGTCCCTAGCACAATTGGAAGCGCTTAATCATTAGTTAATCTCTCCTTGGCGCATAATGAACTGCAAGGACATATTCCTCAATCACTAGGCAACTTGATAAGCTTGGAATTCTTAGATCTATCCAACAACAATTTTTTCGGAGAGATTCCCAAGTCCTTAGAGACGCTCGGGTATCTCCAATATTTGAATGTATTTTTCAATAAACTCCAAGGAGAAATTCCTACTGGAGGACATTTTGTGAACTTTACAGCTCAATCATTTATACACAATGATGCACTTTGTGGCCTAGCCCAACTGCAAGTCCCGCTTTGCAAAACCAACAAGAACCAAAGATCGAGGTCAAAAATTGTACCGTTGTTGAAATATATTTTACCTCCTATTGCATTGATAACTCTTGTGGTGTCTCTTATAATTGTGTTGATACGTCGAAAACAAATGGTCAAATTATCAACAAATGCAGAGTTATGGCCTCTAACATGGAGAAGAATTTCTTACCAAGAGCTATTACAAGCAACAGATGGATTCAGTGAAGCCAACCTTCTTGGCATTGGAAGTTTTGGTTTAGTATATAAAGGATCACTTTTAGATGGGATGAATATTGCCGTAAAGGTTTTCAATTTGCAATTAGAAAGAGCATTCAAGAGTTTTGATGTCGAATGCATGTGAAGTGATATGCAATACTCGCCATCGAAATCTGACAAGAATCATCAGCAGTTGCACTTATAACATGGATTTTAGAGCCTTGGTACTAGAGTACATGCCTAATGGAAGCCTTGAGAAGTGGTTGTATTCGCACAACTATTGTTTGGACATCCTACAAAGGTTAAACATAATGATAGATGTTGCATCAGCCTTGGAATATCTACATCATGGTCATGCAACACCCATTATTCACAGTGATTTGAAGCCCAACAATGTCTTGCTTGATGAAGAGATGATTGCACATGTTTCTGATTTTGGTATTGCCAAACTCTTTGGTGAAGGGGATCTTATGGCACAAACCACTACCTTGGCAACAATTGGTTATATGGCACTAGGTGATGGTCCATGCTCATTATATCAATTAATTTTGAGGCTTCCCTTTTTATTTTTTGCACTTGTATTGTCCTTTTCCTTTTTAGAATTTATTTTAATTGTTGATTTTCTAATTAATGTTGATTTGGTGCATAGAGTATGGAATGGAAGGAAGAGTATCGAAAAGATGCGATGTCTATAGTTATGGTGTCATGTTGATGGAAATATTCACAAGGAAGAGGCCGACAGATGAAGTGTTTTCCGGAGAGATGAGCTTGAAGCATTGGGTGAAGGAAGCATTAGATGGTTCAATAATTGAAGTTGTGGACACCAATTTGATAGGAACAGATGATGAACACTTCTCTGTTAAGGAAGAATGTGTATCATATATCTTGGGTTTGGCCCTGGATTGTTCAAATGATAAACCTGAGGAAAGGATCAACATCAAAGACACCTTGGTTAGGCTTGAGAAAATTAAAATCTCCTTTTCAGAAAATATTGGAATGGCTGGCAAAAAAATCCTATGAATTAAGATGAAGTTTAATAGTATTTTGTACTTGCTGCATTTTCTTTATCTCCATTTTTTATATAGTGAACATCCATCCAAAAATTCTGAATAATAGTTTTCAACTATTTTCGGGAAGAGGTAAAATTTTGTAGAGTTCTTTATTAGACTGTTGGGTTATTGGGGAAAATGGAAGGGCAGTGTAAAGAAAATTTAAGAGTGAACTTGTTATCAGAAAGCAATGCGTGGTGTTGCATTGTTATTCCAAGATTTCTAAAAATTTACAAATGTGATTTTAAACATTTGTCAATACCTCATTAATAATAAAAAGGATATCAGATAAATTTGGGTTAGCATAGGGGAGTTGATGGAATATCTCCTGTAATTTAATTTAAGAAGATTCTTCTTGGAAGGTCTCCTATGAAAGGTTTAAGGGTTTTTTTATTTTTATTATAAAAAAATATGAAAAAGGTTTCAAAAATTCTAATAATTAAGAATTATGTTTCAGTAAACTAAAACAACCACCAAACTTTTTTCCCAACTACTTGGGGTCGGTTGAAATTCCATAGAAGATTGAACTAGATCATTTTTCCTTTAACATAATTCAGCAACAAGAGTTACCAAATTCTAATAATCAGCATAACCTAGGGTGGATTCACTGTTGACAAGAAATAATTCACTGCATATCTTGTAAAAAATTATACAAAATTAGAAAATTTACAACAAAAAAAAAAAAATTGTCACATTTGTAAAGTCTTTAATTACCTTATATAATTGAGTACATCCTGAATCGTTGATATATTTGAGTACATCTTTAAACAATAAACTTAATCAAAATATATATATATATATATATATATATATATATATTGAGGAAAGGAATGGGATCTCCCAGTGACAAAACAAATGTCACAGCATAGTAAATATTAACATCCAAAAATGAGGTGGGGAGAGAGAAATATTTTTTTATAAATAAATGGGTTAATTGCGGAAAATTACCTCCAACTATTTCCAAGTTGCAGATTATCCGATAAGAGTTGTAAATACTCCTGAACTATGTACAAGTTGCAATTGGTCAAACACCATTACTGCACCGTTAACAGTAGTCTAATTATCTGCTGTCTTGGCTTGGTATGAATATTTTTGTTCATCTAAATCCAAAAGCAGAAGGGGTTCTGATTATTTTACATGTCTTGGTGACACAAAATTTCCCGTTTGAATCCTCATAAAATTGTGCAGAAAATTCTACATAGATTTCCCGAGGGAAAAAGGGAACAATCACATTCACTAGCTGTTGCTTTTCCCGGAAAAATCACATACAGATAGTTCATTTCACTAACTTAAAGTCCAATTGGCAGAGTATCTAAAACAACCAGAACGCCTTATATACAAAATAGGTCATTTCACTCATTGGGACATTTCATCAACCATAAGATGCGCATATTTAAAAATGAGACGTGAATTTAACAATCAAACCACAATAGAAAATTGATTCATATAAATTAGAAAACAAATTAGCTCATCACACTTACTAGCTTGAAAGCCCACCTAGGGTTTGCAAATGGGCTCCTCACATGTAGAAAAATGACTGACATTGACCAGAAATTCAAGCAGTATGCGTCACTAAAATCCCCAGATCTTCCACCAACTCCACAGCGAGAGAGAGAGAGAGAGAGAGAGCAACGAATAATGTCAAGGGAGTTTTTTTGTCTATGTAAAAGGGGCAAATTTGACATTTTGATTGACATCAATGAGTCAATGACTAAATAACCGTTAGTTTTTAAACCGTTTATTGACGGAAGGGGGTAATTTGTAAGAATAGAGATAGTTCCGGGAGTTTCCCACTAAAATAAAAGTTGAGAGAGGTTTGATGCAACTTAGGTAATAATTGGAAGGGATTTTTCTGCAATAAACTCTAAATAAATTAATTGAAAATTCAACAATCCATAAACAAACACACATACATGAAGGAGACTTGATAATTAAGAATTTTTAATCATTTTAATATGGATGGCCATATTTGTCATTTGCATTTGCTAAATTTTGACATATAAATTTTGAGGGCCCCATTATGGTTGTTGAAGTTTCTCATCCGTTAAAACGTGGCTGAAATTTTGATAATGTATTTCAAAATGATTCTTGGCTAAAATTTTATCTTATTATGATATACATACCATAAAATTTTATTTAATTTGATAGCAGACATTTTAATTCGACTCCATACTCCCTTCATCCCAATTAAATTTTTTTTTTTTGAATTGTCTCAAAATATCTGTCTACTTAAAAATTCAAACAACACATTTTTTAAATCTCTCCATAAAATGCTTTTAAAATTTTAAAAATTTCAAACTTGAATAAACATATATTCAAACTAAAAATAGTGACTTAATATTTTTTAAAGAAGATATTACAATAATTACATGTACCTTTAAAAAAATTTATTCTCTAAAAAGGACATCAACTACATGACAGAGCCATAGAGAAAGTATTGATTTAAGCTAAAACAGTAGCATCGTTCTAAAAATTCTCAATCCTTTATTTAAGGGTGCTAGGGAGTGCCACTATCCCCCAAAAATTTTCAAAATTTTTATAATACCCTCAAAATAGTTTATTTAGAAATCTAACTTAATTTGTGGTCCTAAAATTCATTAAAAATTTTAGTTGGCCCTCCCAAATTTATTTCAAAACACATATATTGGACTCAAAATAAATTTTAACTTGTATCATCTGAAACTTATAAAAAATTAAATTAAATTAAATTTGTACCATTTTAACCATATTCTTAAAAGAACAAATCTTTTAAAGCAAAATTTAAATTCATTCTTACCGTAGCCCTTACTTAAAACTAATACTTTTAATTGTCACTTGCTAAACGATAATCAGTATGATTACCACTCGTACAAATATTTATTTATTTATTTTTAAAACTTTAAACAATTATATATATGTGTGTGTGGATAATTTCAGAGCCATTATTGGGCCCAAGCAGCCCAACATCCAGGCAGCCCAGATTACAGACAACCAAAAGGCCCAAGGCCTTGAACCAAGACAGAACAAACATGACAACTATATGAATCTGTGACCCATGGCCATGATCGATCCAACCAAGGGCAAGGATAGCCGTTGATATCAATGGCAATCCGGTGAGGTCTTCGAGCAATGGGTTGTTGATCGCCCATGTCCGTTCATTCCGGTGGCCGTGGATCTGCTCGGTGCCGCCCTTAAGGAAAAAACCATTCACTCGCGAACGCGGAGATGGAGTCCTTTGAAAATTTGAGGATTCCGGCAATGGAGTTAGCAACGAGTTTGAGAACTGCTGTCTGTGATGAAGGTGAGTTCCTGTAGATGCGATTATTCCTTTCTTGCCTTATACACCAGATCTGAGAGAGCCAGCTTGCATAGATGAGTTCTAGGGTTTTTGTGATTGTTGCTAATCAATTATGTATCTTCATAATCACCAATAATGGCGGTGGTTGTGATTGTGGATAATCAATTATGCATCCTCATAATCACCAATATATGATTTTACCATCTTATATAACTTCTCTCCAATCTGTACTTCTTTGCTACGTACAAGTCCTATATATATTATCTCCACAAAACTGAAACTCAATGGAAAAGGTTTGCTTCCTTTTGTCCATTGCATTGCTGATACACTGTTGTTCTAGGGTTTGTTTGGCTAGGTCCATCAAAAACCTGACTACTGATCAATCAACTCTTTTTGCCTTCAGAGCCCACATCACTTCTGACCCTGAAGATGAATTGGCCAAAAATTGGACCACCACAACTTCAGTTTGCAATTGGATTGGTGTGTCTTGTGGTCTCACCCACCAAAGGGTCACAACCTTGCACCTTTCTAACATGGGTCTCAACGGCACCATCACTTCACATCTTGGAAATCTCTCCTTCCTCGCATTACTTGACATCAGTTACAACAATTTCGATGGCTATGTACCCAAAGAGATTGGCAAACTTTCGAGACTGAAAGTACTAAACATGGGTTTTAACAAGCTCCCAGGTTTCATACCATATACCATCTTCAACCTTTCTTCTTCGGAAGTAATTGCTTTCACAAGCAATAGCGTATCTGGAAGCCTGCCACTAGACATATGTAGCCATCTTCTTGAACTTGAAGTACTCTATCTTTCTAAGAATTGGCTTAACGGTGAAATTCCATCGAATTTATACAAATGCTGGAAACTCAAAGGTTTATCATTGCCGCGCAATGAATTCAATGGCAGCATATCCAGAGAAATTGGAAACCTGACTATGCTCAAGGAGTTGTATCTTGGGGGAAACAGCTTGAAAGGTATGATTTTTTTATTAAGTCAAAGAGAACTTTTGATAAACTATGTTTGGATTTTGCAATGATTTTCAAGGTAAAGGGATCATTTTTCTATAAGGATTATGCCAAATTGTGATTTTTTTTTCTTCCTTAAACATAAATTGTGACTATATGACTATGATAAGCATTTAGTATCATTTGGTATTTGACATAGATGTTACTATTCTGAGCTCTGTTGTTATCTTGCATTTTGGGAAAAGTAAAAATAATGATATACAAAGATTTTAGGCAAATGGTAAATGGCTTACAGTGTGACTTTGAGGATATTAGTATAAGTTGTAAGGTGGTTGTGATGAAAGAAATAGGAACATCAATATTGGCTTGGATGACAACAAACACTCGATGTAAGCATTAATAGAAACATTTAAGTTCGATGGAAAGGAAAAGCCTATCTGTATGCTTAAGTTCTCTATTCTTTCCACTCTTTTTTGTTGGGTTTCAGGGAGGGATTTTCGATCTGAAGAGGAGTTGGTCGTTTTTTTGGCCTCTTTGAAGGCTTGAGGTGTTTTGGCCTTGGTTTTTGTTCTTGGGACCCGCTCCCCTTTTGAGCGGTTTTTCAATATAATTTACTTATCAAAAAAAAAAAAAAATAGAAACATTTAAAAAAAAATTGATGAACTTTTGACAATTCAAGAGCTTCTATAACTCAAAGATGACATATGGGTCCAAATCATAAATGTGAGATGAGTGTTTTTGTATGTACATGTTTATATAAAAGAAATAATATAAACAAATATTTCATCTATAAATGAAAGATTGTAATATGAGCTAAGAAGTATGGATACGGATGTGAGCTACGAATACGATACCAGTAATATAACAAATCTAAAACAAATAGGTTATGACGGGATATGTCAATACCAAAATAATAGATTATATTTAAATATATACAAAAAATTGATTCTATGTTATACTCCATATATATTAACATTTCTCTATAAAGATATTATGATTAACAACTAAAATAAGAGTCAAGAGTCGTATTGCATAATTTGCATGGATAAATTTTGTACTAAATCATGCTATATATATTCTGAATAATTCTTTTTTAAATAAATTTTAAACTTCTCTTAATAATTATACTATGATATTATTGTTAGAAAAACTACATTTTAATGTTTTAAACTAGTTAAAAATGTGTTATTAAGTATCTAAGAAGCATCGGAAACATGGTCAAAGTATCTAAGAAGTATCGGAGACGTATTAGAAATGAAAATATATATTTTAAAATTATAGATACATTTAGAAAGTATCAAATATGAATTCATGAGTATTCGAGGAGTATCGGTATCTAATACAAACACGATACGGGTACGCCACTCTTGTAGAAATATTCATGCTTTCTGTATGAGAGTAATAAATGTGCTGCAAAAGGAATGGAAAAGTATATTGGTAGAGACATTGCAAGCTATAGAATAGTTATAGGATGGCTGAAGGCTCCATTTGTACAGCAAGCTTCTATATAAAAATATGTATGATGTATTGAACAACAAAGATATTTTTTGAAATGAAGAATTGAGGGAAATATTATAACTCTTTTGCATTTGAAATTTTTGCTTTGTCACTGTCTCGAAATATTATCTTTCGGCTTCCACTTAATCAGTTTCTCTTCTCTAACTTACCAATCATATTATTTCTTTTGTGTTATTTCCTCTCTCTCTCTCTCTCTCTCTCTCTCTCTCTCTCTTTTTCTTTTTAATGTGTGTACATGTTATCTAATCAGATTTGGATCCTGATATTAAAAGTCAAAAATTTAGATTTGGACTCAAATTCACATAAATATTCTCTGTTTCATCACCTAATGGCACCCGGCAAAAAATTTATTCATTACAAACAAACAAGTATAACAATGGGAGAATTTCAAGTGTTGCTAATGACAATTTTGCAGGTAATATTCCATCGGAGATAGGTAATCTTCCACGTCTCGAAAGATTGAGCATTCATAGTGGCTCTCTAGCAGGACCTATTCCATCTTCTATCTTCAACATTTCTTCTTTGAAAATTATTAATTTCATAAACAATAGCCTGTCTGGAAACCTCCCGGTAAACATCCATTATGACTTCCCCGTTCTTGAAGCGCTGTATCTTTCTTCCAATCTGCTCACCGATGAAATTCCGTCCAACTTATGGGAATGCAGAGGACTCCAAGAATTAGCATTGTCAGACAATATATTCACAGGCAGTATATCTAAGAATATCGAAAACCTTACTTTCCTCAAAGCTCTATATCTGGATGGTAACAGCCTAACAGGTAACCCTTCCTCATTCATACTACATTTATATTTTTTGTCTTAGTAAATGTATTTTGATTGAGTAATGCAAGTGTTCATATTGATTGCAATAGGTACATTACCTAATGAGATTGGTAACCTTAATCTCGAAGGATTTAGTATACATGAGAACAACCTAAGTGGCCTCATTCCGTCGAATATCTTCAATGTGACAACAATGAAAGTCTTTGATTTGAACGACAACCAATTCTCAGGACATCTTCCTTCAACCATGGGATTTTGGCTTCCCAATCTTGAAGAGCTTTATCTGGGAAGGAATAGATTCAGCGGAATAATCCAAGTGCTATATCCAACTGTTCTAAGCTTACCATTCTAGATGTGTCAGTCAACTCCTTCACTGGCTCTATACCAAATACACTTGGTAGTTTAATACTCCTCCAACGGCTCTTAATTGCTGAAAATAATTTGACAAGGGAATTTTCTACTCCAAAATTAAGATTTTTCACTTCTTGGGCCAATTGCAGACATTTGGAAATACTGAGCATAGCAGGAAATTAATTTAATGGCATACTCCCGGATTCAATTGGGAATTTGTCTACTTCTCTACGAATTTTTGAAGCATTTGGAAGCAAAATCAAGGGCAGCATCCCCAATGGAATCGGCAATTTGAGCAGCCTGGAACTTATAAGCCTAAATAGCAACGAGTTGGTTGGACCTATCCCGACGACAATTGGAAGGTTACAGAATCTTGATCGCTTGTACCTTGAACACAATAGACTACAAGGACCCATCCCAGATGATCTCTGCAAGTTAACCAAGTTGTGAGACATTTACGGCAGTTAACCAAGTTGGGAGACATTTACGCAAGTAACAATAAGCTTTCTGGACTGATACCAACATGCTTGGGAGACTTCAAGTCTCTAAGAAGACTCTACTTGGACTCCAACAACTTGACTTCAGTGATACCTCCAAACTTGTGGAGCAACACACACACATATATTACATAATTTCATTGCCTTTATAAATTTGGTTTTAGTAAATGTATCTCATTTACATAATTATTCTTGATTGAGTAATGCAAGTGTCAACATTGCCACAGGTACATTACCTAATGAGATTGGCAACCTTGATGTTGAAGATATTAGAATCCATCAAAACAACCTAACTGGCCTCATTCCATCCAAAATCTTCAATGTGACAACAATGAAAATCTTTTATTTGTATGACAACCAATTCTTAGGACATCTGCCTTCAACGATGGGGCTTTGGCTTCCCAGCCTTGAAAAGCTTTATCTAGGAAGGAATAAATTCAGCGGAATAATCCCAAGCACTATATCCAATTGTTCTAAGCTTACCGTTCTAGCTATGGGAAACAACTCATTCACTGGCTCAATACCAAATACACTTGGTAGTTTAACACTCCTACAACGGCCCTTAGTTGGTGAAAATAACTTGACAGTGGAATCTTCTACTAGAGAATTAAGATTTTTCACTGCTTTGCCCAATTGCAGACATTTGGAATTAGTGAGCATAGCACTAAATCAATTTAATGGCATGCTCCCTGATTCATTGGGGAATTTGTCCACTTCTCTACGACGCCTTGAAGCATTTGGATGCAAGATCAAGGGCAGCATCCCCAATGGAATCGGCAATTTGAGTAGCATGGATGCCATACTCTTAGATAGCAACGAGTTAAGCGGACCTATCCCAACAACAATCGGAGGGTTCCAAAATCTTGAATGTTTGTATCTTGAACACAATAGACTACAAGGACCCATTCCAAATGATCTCTACAAGTTAACCAAGCTCGGAGACATTTACGTGAGTAACAATAAGCTTTATGGACCGATACCAATATACTTGGGAGAAAGTCACTAAGAAGACTCTACTTGGACTCTAACAACTTGACTTCCATGATACCTCCAAACTTGTGGAGCCTTAAGGATCTATTGGGTTTGAATTTGTCCACAAACTCTCAGTGGTAATCTACCTTTAGATATCGAGAATTTGAGGGTCATAACACAACTAGACTTGTCATGGAACCAGTTATTAGGTGATATCCCCAGCACCATTGGAAGCGCTCAATCATTAGTTAATCTCTCCTTGGCACATAATGAACTGCAAGGACATATTCCACAATCACTGGGTAACTTGATAAGCTTGGAATTCTTGGATCTATCCAACAACAATTTCTCTAGAGAGATTCCCAAGTCCTTAGAAACTCTCAGGTATCTTCAATATTTGAATGTCTCTTTCAATAGACTCCAAGGAGAAATTCCTACTGGAGGACATTTTGTGAACTTTACTGCTCAATCATTTATGCATAATGATGCACTTGTGGCCTAGCCCAACTGCAAGTCCCGCTTTGCAAAACGAAGAAGAACCAAAGATCGAGGTCAAAAATTGTACCGTTGTTGAAATATATTTTACCTCCAATTGCATCGATAACTCTTGTGGTGGCTGTCATATTTGTGTTGATACAATGTCGAAAACAAATGGTCAAATTATCGACAAATATAGATTCTTTGCCTCTGACAAATGCAGATTCGTTGCCTCTGACAAATGAAGATTTGTCACCTCTGACATGGAGAAGAATTTCATACCAAGAGCTTTTACAAGCAACAGATGCATTCAGCGAAGCCAACCTTCTTGGCGTTGGAAGTTTTGGTTCAGTATATAAAGGAACGCTTTCAGATGGGATGATTATTGCCGTAAAGGTTTTCAATTTGCAATTAGAAAGAGCAATCAAGAGTTTTGATGTCAAATGTGAAGTGATATGCAATACTCGCCATCGAAATCTGATAAGAATCATCACCAGTTGCACTTATAACTTGGATTTCAGGGCCTTGGTACTAGAGTACATGCCTAATGGGAGCCTTGAGAAGTGGTTGTATTCGCACAAATATTGTCTGGACATCCTGCAAAGGTTAAACATAATGATAGATGTGGCATCAGCCTTGGAATATCTCCATCATGGTCACGTAACACCCATTGTTCACTGTGATTTGAAGCCCGAGAATGTCCTACTTGACAAAGATATGATTGCACATGTTGCTGATTTTGGCATTGCCAAACTCTTTGGTGAAGGGGATTTTATGGCACAAACCACAACCTTGGCAACAATTGGGTATATGACACCAGGTGATGTTCTATGCTTATTATCTCAATTGAGTTTCAAGCTTTCATATTTACTTTTTGCACCTGTATTGTCCTTTTACTTAGAATTTATTTTCATTGTTGATTTGGTGCATAGAGTACGGAATGGAAGGAAGAGTATCAACAAGATGCGATGTCTATAGTTATGGTGTCTTGTTGATGGAAATTTTCACGAGGAAGAGACCGACAGATGAAATGTTTGCCGGAGAGATGAGCTTGAAGCGTTGGGTGAAGGAAGCATTAGATGGTTCAATAATTGAAGTTGTGGACAGCAATCTGATAGGAACGGAGGATGAAAATTTCTCTGTTAAGGAGGAATGTGTATCATATATCATGGGTTTGGCCCTGGATTGTTCAAGTGATAAACCTGCGGAAAGGATCAACATGAAAGAGGCCTTGGATAGGCTTGAGAAAATTAAAATCTCCTTTTCAGAAAATATTGGAATGGCTGGCACAAAAAAAGTTATGAATTAACAGGTATCAAGTTTAATAGTATTTTGTACTTGTTGCATTTTCTTTACCTCCATTTTTTATATCAATCCAAAAATTCTGAGCAATAGTTTTGGAATTATTTTTCAGGAAGTGACAGAAATTTGTAGAGTTCTTTATTGGACTGTCGGGTTATTTGTGGGGAAAAAATTGTACTTTTGGGGAATGCCCCGATGTCTCTGTATTTGTTGGCTTTTAGCCTTTTCAATGAAATAGCTTACCTTTCAAAAATGAAAAAATCAATGAGTTGTTGCATTGTTATAGAGAATTCTTGACCGAATGTTTTTAATTGGTTAATGTATTCAAAATATAAAAAAAAAGTGGGACCTTTCACTTCTTTATCTCACATAAATAATCAATCAAAGGTATTCAGTCAAATGATTTTGTCCAACTCTCCGGTCAGTATCGCTACTCTTTTGATTAGATTATGTAAAGGTTGGGAATGAATGCCAAGGGTCTACTACTCTCTGATTAAACAGGACATATAAAATAAAAAAATAAAAAAGAGTAGTAAATAGTATTTTGATAGTACTTGAGAAACTGCATTGCAGAAGATCTAGATCTCAAGTTTAAGTAAACTCCACATTTAAAAGCAAAGCAACTCTCCTTTCACTCCCACTCTGCTTATTCCTGGAAAGTACGTTGTTGCATAGTCATATTGTTGAAACTTAAAAAAGTGCAAACTTCTTTTTTAAATTTTTTTAAAGTTATGTATAGATAAAGCTATCCAAGAAAATAACTTAAAAACAATTAATAGTAGTAGTTGCACTTTTAAGTGTCAACAATATGACCAAGACTCTATGCAATGACTTTAATATTTTAAGTTGCATTTTTACCCATCCAACATTTTTTCGAAGTTCTCCAACAAATTAAATTTCATGAAAACTTCTTTACAAAAAAGAATCAAAATTATCACTTATTGAACTTGGCTATGGTAACTCAGGAAACATTAGATCTAAAGTTCGCATCCTCTTAGGTGCAAACAATTCATTGAGAAGGGTATGTAAGTACTTCAAGAAAAAAAAGAAAAAATGTTATAAAAACGGACTTTGTTGTTATGGGCATACATACAAGCCAGATCCCTCCATCCAAAGACTATTAAGTGCAAATTCAGTAGGTGCTTTTTCATAGTCTTTCTTAAGAAAAATATCCAAAAAAAAAATGTTTATTCTTCTTTTCAAGTTTATCAGCTGCCAAACAACTATTAGTTGTGAAAAAGCTAGTATGAAAATCTTGTTTAATTTGTGGTCAGATAAGGGAGGCTAGATCGGCTTATTTATCGTAATATGAGGTTCTAAGTTCTAACATGAGCATACATATATAAAATAATAATAACAAATTTCCATAAAAGTCTCATTCACACTAGGTGACCCGATTGTGGGACTTACGAGGTCTTAGTAATTAAATTAGTAATAAAGTTGATGACCCAAATTTCAAATAATGTAATATGATTGTATATTGGTAGTGGCAATTAAATTAGTAATAAATTTAATGACCCAAATTCCAAATTTGTTCTATAATTGTATACTAGTAGTTGTGAGACTGATTTGACCATCCTATATAACCTGCCCAACCACTCCTTCCTCTAGACAAGTTAATACTAACCGATATGAAATTCATGGTGAACACTTGCTTCCTTTTTTCTACCACATTGTTGTTGATACACTCTTGTTGTTCTATGGTTGGTGTGGCTAGGTCCATCACAAACTTGACTACCGATCAATATGCTCTTCTTGCTTTCAAAGCCCATATCACTTCTGATCCCAAAAATGTATTGTCTCAAAATTGGTCCTTGACTACCTCAATTTGCAATTGGACTGGTGTCTCTTGCGGTCTCAGACACCGCAGAGTCACAGCCTTGCATCTCCCTAATATGGGAATCAATGGCACCATTGCCCCACATCTTGGAAATCTCTCATTCCTCACGTCCCTCGACCTCAGTGACAACAATTTCAATGGCTATATACCCGAGGAGTTGGCTCATTTGCGTCGATTGAGAGAAATCAGTTTGCAATACAACTACTTCAGTGGTACCATTCCACCGTCACTATGCAACATTTCGAAACTGGAGGCATTGAATATGAGAAACAATTCTTTGCACGGAAACATTCCAGAAGAGATCGGTAATCTTTTTAGACTCGAAGTATTAGACTTGAGTTTTAACAAGCTCACGGGTTCTATACCGCGTACCATCTTCAACATTTCTTCTTTGAAACTAATTGTTTTCACATACAATAGGCTGTCTGGAAGCCTGCCAGTAGATATGTGTAATCATCTTCCCGAACTTGAAGAACTCTATCTTTCTTTAAATCAGCTTCAAGGGCGGATTCCATCAGATTATTTATATAAATGCACGAAGCTCCAATATGTATCGTTGTCAGGCAATGACTTCACTGGGGGCATACCTAGAGAAATTGGCAATCTCACCATGCTCAAGGCGTTATATATTGGTGTAAACAGCTGGAGAGGTATGTCTTGCAGTTATTCAAAATGTTCACGCTTGTTGTGTCAATCAAAAAATAAAATATTTAAAATTTAGAACACTTCTAGTGATATTTGATACCTCACGGATACCCCAGAACAAGTGTCTATGATTCTTAGTTAACTCATATTTATATATTGATCATTTCTTGCATGGTTCGAGGCAAGTATTTTTTTCAAAAGAAGAAATTTATATATCTTCCGATGTCCTAATGAGTGAGAAAATAACATCTTGCTTTTGGCGACTTTGCAGGTGCAATTCCATCTGAGATGGGTAATCTTCCACATCTGGAGAAATTGAGCTTAATTAGTAGCTCTCTAACCGGGCATATACCACTTTCCATCTTCAACATTTCTTCTGCAAAAGTAATCGATTTTGGAAACAATAGTCTATCTGGAGGACTACCAGTGAACATCCACTATCATCTTCCTCTTCTTGAAGAGCTAGATCTTTCTTCCAATCACCTCACTGGTCAAATTCCGTCCAACTTATTGGAATGCCGAGAACTTCGAGTTTTATGGTTGTACAAAAATAACTTCAACGGTAGCATACCTAAGAAAATTGGAAACCTTACTTCGCTCGTGAAACTACATTTTGGTTATAACAACTTCACAGGTACCTCTAACACTTTGATGCCTTTAATTTATGAGTAATGATACATCGATGGACTAAATAATCTCAACCTTTTAAACCTACTAAATAACACAATCGTCGAATGGGATATACATGAATCCCACTCTATGATTGTCTCTTAGTTAGTTTGGAATATTAGTCCTATTTTATTTAATTTTTCTATGTAATTCTTTATATTCAATTAATCTCGTTAGGTATGATCAATTAGATCCGTTTCATTTATTCTAGACATGAAGTCTCTCACATGGCGCATACCTTTTTCACTAAGTAACGCGGTGGTGTCACATGACTGATAAAGGGGTGATGGTCAATTGATTCCAGACAAAATCAGACCAAATCGATCTAACAGTTCTTAAAACATTAGAACGGAAATCCAACCTTTCAGATTGCTTTTAGAATGATAAAATAAATAAAAGATTGTCTTTAGTAGTTGACTTGCGTGGAGTTAGAAGTTGACTTGTAGATGGTACTATTTATGCATGTATTAACTTGCGTGTAGCCCTTTTTTCTTTTTTTTCCTTTTCTTTTCCTATTTGATAATACCTCTCTAAAGAATTATTTGCACACGAGAAGTGAAACCTAGACCTGATATTTTATGAAACACCATGACTTACCCACTTGAGTAAACTCTTAGAGTTTTTTTGGCATGTTGCCTTTCGGTCAAAAATTTCTTGCAGATCGTATTATTTTCAACATTTCTATAAACAGCCATGTGAAAGAGCCTTGTGAATAATGCTAAGGGTGTTCACATTTTTACAGGTACATTACCAGACGAGTTTGCTAACCTTAATAATCTAGAGGAATTTAGTGTCAGCGGAAACAGCTTAACTGGTCTCGTACCATTCAATATCTTCAATGTGTCAACAATGAAGTTCATCAACCTGAATGACAATCACTTCTCAGGCCATCTTCCTTCAACCATGGGGCTTCAACTTCCCAATCTTCAAGCCCTTTACCTCGGACGGAATAAACTCACCGGACCATTCCCAAGCTCCATCTCCAATTCTTCCAAGCTTACCCTCGTAGACATATCCTTGAACTCATTCACTGGGTCGATACCAAATTCACTAGGCAGTTTAAGACTCCTCCGACATCTCTTCCTCGGCGGAAATGGCATGACCAAGCAAACTTCCACTGCAGAATTGTTCACTTCTTTGACAAACCTGAGAGATTTGGTATTGTTGGACTTGTCAGAAAATCCATTAGATGACATACTCCCAACTTCCGTTGGGAATTTGTCTGCTTCTCTTCGGGTGTTGGGAGCATTTAAATGCAAAATGAAGGGGAACATCCCTAGTGAAATGGGTAATTTGAGCAACCTGGAAATCATAGCTTTACAATTTAACGAGTTGACCGGACCAATCCCAACAACACTCCAAAGGTTACAGAGTCTCGACCGTTTGCATCTCTCGGTCAATAAATTACAAGGACACATACCCAATGATCTTTGCAAATTAGGGAGGTTGGGTGACTTACTTGCAAGTGATAATAAGCTCAATGGACCGATTCCGACATGCTTGGGTGAGCTTAAATCCCTAAGAAGGCTCCACCTTGCCAACAACAAATTGAATTCCATGATTCCGTCGAACATCTGGAGCCTAGAAGATCTTTTGTATCTAAACCTATCGTTGAACTCTCTTAGAGGTCATCTGCCATTAGAAATCGGAAATTTGAAGGTCATAACACGCATAGACTTGTCGTGGAATGGGTTATCAAGTGACATCCCAAACACCATCGGAGGGGCTCAGTCATTAGCCGTTCTCTTCTTGGATCATAATAAACTGCAAGGACCTGTTCCTCCATCACTGGGCAACATGATAAACTTGGAATTCTTGGATCTATCCCAAAACAATTTGTCTGGAGTTATTCCAAAATCCTTGGAAGGACTTAGGTATCTACAATATCTGAATGTGTCTCTCAATGGACTGCAAGGAGAAATTCCCACCGGAGGAAGTTTTGCAAACTTTACAGCGCAATCATTTATGCATAATAATGCACTTTGTGGCGTACCCCGACTGCAAGTTCCGCTTTGCAAGACAAACACCCTCCGACTATCAAAGTCTAAAATTGTGCGGAGGTTGAAATATATTATACCACTCCTCATTGCTTCAGCAATTATTGTGGTGACCCTCATATTTGTGTTGATTGGACGTGGAAAACAAAAGGTAGCGTTACCAACTCAAGCAGAGTCTTCAACTCTTACATGGAGAAGGGTTTCCTACCAGGAGCTTTTGCAAGCTACGGATGCATTTAATGAAACCAACCTACTTGGCATGGGAAGTTTTGGTGCAGTGTATAAAGGAACGCTTTCAGATGGGGTGAGTATTGCGGCAAAGGTTTTCAATCTGCAATTAGAAAGAGCTTTCAAGAGTTTTGATATTGAATGTGAAGTAATGCGTAATGTCCGCCATCGAAACCTTATTAGCATCATCAGCAGTTGCACTAACCTAGATTTCAAAGCCTTGGTGCTAGAGTACATGCCTAATGGGAGCCTCGATAAGTGGTTGTATTCTCACAACTATTGTTTGGACATCCTACAACGGTTAAACATAATGATAGATGTTGCATCAGCATTGGAATATCTACATTATGGCCATACAACACCCATTGTTCACTGTGATTTGAAGCCCAATAATGTTCTTCTTGATGAAGATATGATTGCACATGTTGCTGATTTCGGTATAGCAAAACTCTTGGGTGAAGGGGTTCTCATGGCACAAACCATGACCTTGGCAACAATTGGGTATATGGCACCAGGTGATCTTCCATGTTTATTATTTTCATTTCAATTTTCATATTTATTTTATAAAATAATGCGACAAATTTCGACTAGCGAGAACCAACCAAAGAGAGCTTTGGGCCCCACCTAGAGCTGTTGTGGGTGGGGCCCACAACTCTCTCTCTTGGTCAGTTGTCCCCAATCGGCAACTTTAGAGTTTTCTGGATGTGATGTGATAGCTTAGTAGAGCATGTGTTGCTTGTGGTCAAAGGCCCGAGTTCGAATCCCCACTTCATTAGTCAGTTGCTTTAACTTTAGAGTTTTTTTTTTCAAATCCTTTTTATCTGTCAGAATCTATTTTCATTATCTATTTTTAAATAATGTCAATATGGTGCATAGAGTATGGAACGGAAGGAAGAGTATCAACAAGGTGTGATGTCTATAGTTATGGTATCATGTTGATGGAGATGTTTACAAGAAAAAAGCCGACAGACGAAATGTTTTCGGAAGAGATGAGTTTGAAGCGTTGGGTGAAAGAAGCATTAGATGATTCAATAATTGAAGTTGTGGACCTCAATCTCATACAAAGAGATGATAGACATGAGTCTGTAAAGGAGCAATGTATATCATCTGTCTTTGGTTTGGCAATGGACTGTTCAAAGGATTCACCTGAGGAAAGGATTACCATGGAAGACACCTTGGTTGCACTCAAGAAAATCAAAATCTCCTTTCTATCAAATGTTGGAAGCGCTTGAAAGATAAAGCTATCAAGATTAGCAGATATCAAGTTTAGTTGTATATTGTACTTACATGTATCATTATCTCGGAACTTCATTCAATAATAAAAACCCATCCAATAATAGTTTGGATTTTTTTTCTTTTTCTCGGAGTTAATACTACATTTACTTTTACTTTGTGGATTATATTAATTTGATAAGTTTAATTTAAGTAAATATTTGGATAAAGCATCATGTTACACTTATTCATCTCTCTCAAGTTTTTTGAAAAGAAATTTCACAACCTATTTGGCACCGCGCAACTCACATAGAATTGATGTTTTGAAAGTAAAATTGGAGAAAAAATAATTCAAATTTTTTTTTGAAAGCACGAAATTCGGGCCTTAAAATTGAAATTGAAAAAAAAAAAAAAAAAAAAGTTCTAATGTATGTATGTTTTCCAACTAAAATGGTGTCATGGTGTTACTGAATTAGATCTCTTCGTCAAGGGCTTATTTCCTAGCTTTGCAACTTGTCATAGTTCATGAACTTAAATTAGGTTAAGTTTATCAAAATATTAAGGTTTTAGTTTAACTGGTATCTCTTCAGACTCTTCTTAATTTAACTGGAAAAAAAGTGAGTCATTTACAAGGTGAAAAAATGGTAGGTTAACGAGAGTATATAAGTTTTATTATTATTATTATTATTATTGGATAAACTATTTATGGTATTTTGATACTTCCAAAAGAATTTTTAGCTTTTCTTCCTTTATATTATTATTATTATTATTATTATTATACTTCGAAAACTGCAATGTAGAAAAGTCAAAATTAACCACAAGTTCAATTTATATATTTTATAGCAAAGCAAGTCTCCTACTCTTTAACTGAACTTTTCCTGGAAACTACGTTCTTGCATAGAGTCTTGCAAAGTCTTATTGTTGAAACTTGGAGGTGTGGACTAAATGTTTTAAATATTTAATGTTAATTACAGAAAAAGCTATCCGACAAATTAATTTTAAAAAGACGAATCAATAATATATTTTTAAAATAATTATTAGACAATTTATATAATATATATGGAGCATAATGTATTAATGTTAAATGATAAAAACAAATAACAATGCTTTCATGCAATTGAATTAAGAATTAATGTCGTACAAGAGAATATTTTAAGAGTGACAAATTTAGTAGTTGTTTTTTTTTGGGTAAGTACAAATTTAGTTTTTTTTTTTTTTTTTTTTTGTCACTGACCTGATAAAAATTGGAGGATAAAGCATTTCTCTTGGCAACACGTAACACCTAATATGAAATATTTTACTATTTAAATTAAATGGATTAACATATTTAAAAAGAAATCGAGTATCACTGTAAAGAACAAATGAAATGGGGGATGAGTCAGCATATCACTTATCCTATTAAAAAAATAAATATAGACACCGAAAGCAAAAATCAACTATGCCGTGTGCTTGGCGTCCAGTTGGCAAGTTGTCAATCTCGACAGCCATCGGAGGGTTGTTATCATGAAAGCACAAGTAGACATATAATATACATTGTTTTGCACAAGCGTCCAAGTCAATTTAGCTCTGCCAGGGTGTCCCATCCCTTTCGAAACTTGTTTGGAATCAAACCTGGCGGATTTGGGAAGAGGATTTATTTAAAATTCACAAAGTTCCAAATTTATATAAATAAAATATTTTTTTTTTTCTTAATAATACTACCGTTCACACCCTGCATGTGAACGTGCTTGTGTATGAATTGATTGTTAAACAAGTGGGGATATGATTCCGCCCCCTGAATTTTAAAAAGTTGACATTACCGGTAGCGGCAAATTGCATAAAACGACACAACTACTGATTTCACCATATCTTAGACAAGCTTGGCTTTTGAGGCCATGGTTTATCCACTTTCAAGTACTTTATGATTTCATCATCTTATATAATGAATGCCTCACCAATCAATCCTTGTTAGAAGTCATAAGCCAAATCTACATCACTTCATGGCAAAGAATTGCCTCTTTATTTCCATTGCAGTGTTGCTAAACTGTTTCTTTGTTTGCCTTGCTACAACCACAACTACTAACTTGACTACAGACCAATCTGCACTTCTTGCCTTCAAAGCCCATATCACTTCCGACCCTGAAAATGTATTGGCCAAAAACTGGTCCACCACTACCTCAGTTTGCAATTGGACTGGTGTCTCCTGTGGCCTCAGCAGCCAAAGGGTCACGGCCTTGAATCTCTCTGATATGAGTCTCAGTGGCACCATCGCTCCACATCTTGGGAATCTCTCATTTCTCACATCTCTTGACGTCAGTTACAACAGTTTCAATGGTCATATACCCGAAGAGTTGGCTAGTTTGGATCAATTACTAGAGATCGATTTGCAATACAACAACTTCAGTGGGGAGGTGCCATCATGGTTTGGGATCTTATCAGAACTTCAACATTTGTTTCTATCTAGTAATAGTTTCACAGGTACCATTCCACCATCAATATTCAACATTTCCAAGCTAGAGACGTTGAACATAAGCTACAATTCTCTTCATGGTAATATTTCACAAGAGGCCAGTAATCTTTCCAACCTGAAAGTATTAGACTTGAGTTTTAACAAGCTTACGGGCTCCATACCATCTGCTATCTTTAACATGTCTTCACTGCAAGTAATTGATCTCACATCAAATAGCCTTTCTGATAGTCTCCCAATAGACATGTGCACTCATCTTTCTTTGCTTCAGCGACTCCGCCTTTCTTCTAATCAGCTGCATGGCCAAATTCCATCCGGTTTATTCAAGTGCAGGGAACTCCAACATCTATCAATGTCCAACAATAACTTTACTGGCAGCATACCTAGAGAAATCGGCAACCTTACTATGTTAAAGGTGTTGAATCTTGGTTGGAACAACCTCAAAGGTACGCGTTCACTTTCAAGTCTTAACTAATAACTATATAGCTACAAAAATTAGAAGTAGAATGAAAAGCTCACCTGCGGATAAAAAATTGATAAACTACTACAACTATTTCTCGCAAATTGTAAAAAACCCCCCCTCGACTATTAGCTAGTTGCAAAAAATTTCCTTTATGAATATTTTTAGCAAAAAACTCCCTGAACTATCCCGAGGGTGTTTTTAACGGATGTCCGTTTAAGTGATTGTTTGAGGAATTTTTTTTAGACGAAATTACCCCTTAACAAATTATTCTTCAGACAATTTATTTATTATTTTCTCTCTCTCCGTCAAGCAAAATTCCCAAAAAAAAAAGCCAATAAAATCATATGTAAGCTATGTATAATTAATAAAATACAATTGAATACAACTGCACAGGAGATAGAAGATCCACCATGGCGTTGAAATAGAAGATGAAAAAATTAAGCAACTCAAGAACTCCTTCAGTGCATTTGGTATTTAGCAGCCATTATAACAGTTAATTATTTTGAAGAAAATAACTAATAATTTGTCATGTTTCTTAGTTTAATTAATAATTTGTCATGTTTCCTTAGTTTAATTAATAATTTGCCATGTTTCCTTAATTTAATTCATTTCTTTTCCTTAATTAAATTATGCTGCTGGAAGGTAAGTGGGACTGAAATTGGCAATTAAAAAGTAACATAATTTCTTTTTCCAAATTTGATTTTTTTTTTTATAATTAATAAAATAAAATTGAATACAACAGCATAGGAGAGAGAAGATCCACCATGGCGTTCGAACAGAAGATGGAAAAATTAAGCAACTCAAGAACTCCTTCAGTGCATTTGGTATTTAGCAGCCATTATAACAGTTAATTATTTTAAGGAAAATAATTAATAATTTTTCATATTTCCTTAGTTTAATTAATAATTTGTCATGTTTCCTTAATTCAATTCATTTCTTTTCCTTAATTGAATTATGCTACTGGAAGGTAAGTTGGACTAAAATTGGCAATTAAAAAGTAACATAATTTCTTTTTTAAATCTGATTTTTTTTTTTTTTTTTTAAAAAAAATTACTTACTTGGAGAACACAAAATAACCCAAAGTAACTTTTTGAGACGAAATTGTTGTAGTTGATATACTCAAGTTAAAGACCTAAAAATATGTAAGTTGCCCTCTAATTAATTCACAAGATTCTAATTATAAAGGATATTTAAGTAATTTAGTTTGAGAGAAATGCATTTATCATCTCATCATATATTGTTTTGATTCCACCACCTACTACTCAAAAATTGTTTTGATTTCACAATTGGGTTTCTTGATCTGCTGTAAGCTTTGTGTTTGAAGGAATGAGAAGACTTGCTTGACGCGGAGAGAGAAGAGAGAAAAAATAAATAAATTGTCTGAAGAATAATCTGTAAAGGAGTAATTTCGTCAAAAAAAATTCCTTCAGATAGCCACTTAAACGGACATTAATTAAAAACAACCCCTTAGAATGGTTGAGGGAGATATTTTGCCAAAAATATTCGTAAGGGAGTTTTTCGCAACTGAGTAAGAGTATAAGGAGATTTTTTGTAGTTCGCCCTTTTTTAAACAATATTTATACAAAATACTAGCTGAATACTGAATAATGTGCCTTTTATACCCTTTTTTTTCCTTTGGTTATACATATGACAAGGGTGTACTAAGTTTACTTGTAATCATCTATACAAGGCATTTACCATTGTAGTTAATCGCTTGTACAATATAAGGAGAGAACATTTTTGTCTTGCTTCTTACAATGTTGCAGGTGTAATTCCATTGGAGATAGGTAATCTTAAACAGCTGGAAGGATTGATCTTATCAGCTGGCTTTCTAACAGGGTCAATTCCATCTTCCATCTTCAATATTTCTTCATTGAGATCAATTGATTTCACCAACAATAACCTCTCTGGAAGCCTCCCAATGAACATTCAATATGATCTCCCAATTCTTGAAGAGCTATTTCTTATGACAAATCGGCTCAGTGGTCAAATTCCATCCAAATTAGGGGAATGCAGAGGACTTCGAGTATTAGCGTTGCAGGAAAACAAATTCACTGGAAGTATACCGAAGGAATTTGGGAACCTTACATCCCTCAAAGTTCTAGGTCTCTATGATAACAACTTGACAGGTAACACCAGTACTTTATTGTCTTTAATTAATTTATATTAGTAAATGTACATCTCTTGCGTACATGATATTTGCATCTAGATCCACTTTCGAAGCACCCATATCCCATTATAAAATAAGCTAGAAACATGTGTTTTTTTTTTTTTTTTTCACAGCTAGAAACATGTCTCTGGTTAAAATATCATCCTCTTCAAAATCATATATTAAAATAAACCATTTCCCTTTGGGTGGGGCTGACAAGGAAATTCACTGGGGATATCTAATAATATGAAAATAGAAATTAAAGTATAATAAATTTCTTTTTACAATATAATTCTTAATATGAACAAAATCCAATATAAGATTATCTATAAATGAAAACTAATTGATAACTCCTTGGGTGCACATAAGAATATATTTGATCAATTTTGACATAGATATGTAGATAAATAGACCAAAAATTGAAGGACCCGAAAATTCTAATACAATAATTCTCAAATACATCAAAAACCCCTCAAGATCAAAAATAAAAATAAAAATAACCTCCATAATACAAAAGATCCTCCAACATACAAGAATCAAAATCCTAAAAAAAAAATACATGTCTAATTAATCTTCAAATAGACATAAAAATCCCGCAACACAGCTCCTCTCTAAACCTGCAACTAACAATCCTCAAGCATCTTTGGTACCTGAAACTGGAGAGTGATGAGACAAGAAGTCCGAATAAAAAAAACCATAACAATAACAAGAATTTCATGAAAGTTTAACAAACACAAGGGAAAATTATATTTTGGTGACCAAAATTAAACATAATTGCTCTATAGTAACCTTAAAGTCAAGAGAAGGTGAATAAATGACCAATGTTATAACTTAATTGATATTATGTGACCATTTGAAGATAACCTGGTCAAAAACATTTAAAGTTTTGATAAACATTTTAAAAATAAATTTTAGATAATAAAATTACCATCCAAATACAAATAATAACTCATTGAATTCATCCTCCTACTTTCTCTCTCTCTAATCCGGTGTTTTCTTTTTTCCTTTTTAGTTTGCAATTTACCAATTTAAAAAATAAGGGTTTATGAAATTAATCAACAATGGTCATTATTTCTTAAACTATAACTCAGTAGTATTAAAAAATTCCTAAAAATTACAATCTTATATCTTAAGGAAGATCTCTCAAACAAATCAACTAGTAAAGTATAATAACTATACTTTGAAAATAATGAATAAGAAGAAATTTTACAATTTTGTCCTACCTCTTAGAACTTTCAAGAAAATGATGTAGAATATCTGTCCTTGATTCTCTCCCATCTTGGTCTTCTCTTCAGAGACTCACCATAATAATTTGTGGTCTTTTTAATAGTCAATTTAAGTAAGTATTTATTTAGGTTAATGTAGAGGGTAAATTTGTCCACTTACATAATAAGATATTATAAGAAGGTTATTTAGGTAATAAACTATCAAATGGTCACTTAATATCAATTAAGTTTTAGCATTGATCACTATTCACCTTTTCTTGACTTTAAGATCACTATAGAGCAATTATGTTTAATTTTAGTCACTAAAATATAATTTTCCCAACACAAAAAATATACATATTCATGTGAATATATAAATAAAATACATATGCATTTAATAAAAATCATTTGAAGCAAAATCACCTGTATTTGGTACAATAATTCAACAACGGGACCTACCATATCATTAGTTTCCTTTTTATTTCTTTTCCTCCACGTGCACCACCATTTCACCCATATGAAATACATAGGAGTTATATGATACATAGTACATAAGTGTCACCAAAACTAAAGAAATCCCACTAAAAACGGGTGAAGTGCAAAAATCACTAGTAGTTTGAAAATTGTGCAAATAACACTTCTCGTGTTCAAATTACACTCCGTATACTATGAAAAGTAAGCAAATGAGGACTTATTGTCAGGTAAATAAAGTGAGATAGGCAAACAAACTAAAATGCCCTCGACTATACATGTAACAAAAATAATTAAAAAATCTTAAAAGATGAAATTACCTCAAAGGACCTGTGGGGAAACACCGTTTATTTAGTCCAACAAATTTAATCATCTCCCACAAACAACGCACAGACTCCCACAAACAACGCACCATCACCATAACCGCCCCCATCACCACCACCACCACCACCATCCCCACCCCGCAACCAAGACCACACAAGCATCATCACCACCACAGCCCACCAGCACCACAATCGCCTTCCCACAACTATAATAAAATATTAAAAAAAAACACTACAGTCACCTATCCACCGCCGTCGCCGCCGCAACACTCACCGGAAACTACCATCATCGATGCACTTTTCCCGATCTATTTCTTGACACTGTATTCCAGCGAAAATCTAGCCTCAAGAACAATAATCACCTTCCTCACCCTCACAACCATTGCAACCACTGTGTATTATGGCGAAACAACCACCCCCAAGGTCTCACGATCGACAGTGGCAAGTTTGATACGGTGGAAATAGCCATTGGTTCAAGATGGCGACGTGGTTCAGACAACGAAATGGCAGCATGATTCACGTTGGCGGCATGGTTCAACCGGCGACACCTGCAGTTTTCGGCGTGATCTCAACTTTTCCATCGTTGTCGCAACGATAAACAAATCGATTTACTCCTGCCATCGTCGCTCGATCAAAATCTTCACCAAACTCACCCGAATCGAAACTCCCAAGAACCCTAAAAAACAGGGGTATCAATCATCTCCCACAACTATGGCGTGATCTCAACTTTTTCATAAAGAAGATCTAACCTGTCGGTCACTTTACTTCGAAAATCGCCTCCCACCGTTGATGTCCCCAAAGAAAAAGACGATCTTCCTCGACCTAGACGAGACTCTGGTTCACTCCACGCCGGATTTGCTGTCGAAAAAGTACGATTTCATTGTCCGGCCAACATGAGAGTGTAGAGAGAGAAGTGTATAGTGAGAATATGTAAAGTTGACGTGTAAAGATTATTGATGAGGCGTAATTTTTCTGGACAGATGGATGGCTAGGATTGTCTGGGACCATAGCTGAGGGTAGTTTGGGAAGTCCAAAAGGGTCGTGTTGGTATTTAGGGGAATTTTTTGGTCACATGACCTACACATGTCACCTTAGTCAGAATCCTCATTTGCTCACTTTTCTTACTACGGGGGTTTGATTTGAACACGAGAGTGTTATTTTCACATTTTTCAAATCACAGGGGTATTTTTTGCACTTCAACCTACTAAAAACAAACACAAAAGATCACAAACTTAATCAATTACCCATCTCCTTCCTCCAAATTAGGACACGTAACCCATTAAAATAAAATAATGAACAAAAACCAAAATAAATAATATCTCTCAGTTAACAAAATAAACCCCAAAAAAATCTGTATAATAAAAATCAAGCCTTGAAAATCTGGGTTGTCACAAAAAAAATGAGAAAATATATTTTAAATAAAAAAAAAAAAAAAAGGTAAAATGAGATATGTATAAAACTATACAAGTTATGTTCTGACTTTATGAACTTATTTTTTGTTTTAAATGTAAGCTTGTAAGACCAAAAGATCCTAAAATTAGATTCTCTATGGGTTTGGAGGACCACATGTTAAATGTTAAGTGTTTTATATTTCAACTATTCATAGTAACCTATTATTATTATTATTATTTATTTTTTATTTTTGGGAGGAGGGGGTGCATAACCCTAGGTCTTTTATAAAAGAGAACAATTATGTGAAGAGCGACAATTTGCTCTATTGCAAACAGGCGCATTGTAAACAAAGATAAGCAGCAATAAAATTATCCCTATTAGGGTAACCTTATGTGTGTTGATGTGGCACAATTGCGAGACCCACATCGTGTAATAATTGAGGAACAAAAATCGCTTCAATGCAAGTGTGTTTGTTTTTTTTTAACCAGAATGATAGTGTGTGATTATTTTAATATACTCTCATTAGGGTAAAGCTTAATGAATAATAAAATGGTGTTCGTGTCGTGGTAGGTACATTGCCAGAACAGATTGGAAACCTTGATCTTGAGAGATTTTATGCCAGTGTAAACAGCTTAACTGGCCATATTCCATTCAAAATATTCAATGTGTCAACCATAAAACTCCTTGATCTGGGATTTAATCAATTCTCAGGCCGTCTTCCTTCGGACATGGGGCTTTGGCTTCCCAGTCTTGAAGAGCTTTATCTGGGTGATAATAAACTCAGTGGAATCATCCCAAGCTCTATCTCCAATGCCTCTAAGCTTACTCTCCTGCATTTGTCTACCAACTCATTCAGTGGCTCTATACCAAATTCGCTTGGTAGTTTAACATTACTACAACGGCTCTTCATTGGTGAAAATAATTTGACAAGGGAATCCTCTACTCCAGAATTAAGATTTTTAACTTCTTTGACCAATTGCAGACATTTGGAAGTATTGAGCATAGCATTAAATCAATTTAATGGCATAATCCCGGATTCATTTGGGAATTTGTCTACTTCTCTTCAAATTTTTCAAGCATTTGGATCAAAAATCAAGGGCAGCATTCCTAGTGGAATCGGCAATTTGAGTGGCTTAGGACATCTAAGCATGGATAGCAACGAGTTGACTGGACATATCCCACCAACAATCGGAAGGTTACAGAATCTCGTACAACTGTATCTTGAACACAATAGACTACAAGGACCCATTCCAAATGATCTCTGCAAGTTAACCATGCTCGGAGACATTTACATAAGTAACAATAACCTTTATGGATTGATACCAACATGCTTGGGTGAACTCAAGTCCCTAAGAAGACTCTACTTAGACTCCAACAACTTAACTTCCATCATACCTTCAAACTTGTGGAGCCTTAAAGATCTATGGGCTCTAAATTTATCCACAAATTCTCTCGGAGGTAATCTACCATTAGATGTCGCGAATTTGAAGGTCTTGATACAATTAGACTTGTCATGGAACCAGTTATCAGGTGACATCCCCAGTACCATTGGAGGCGCTCAATCATTAGTAAATTTATCCTTGGGGCATAATAAACTTCAAGGACATATTCCTCAATCACTGAGCAACTTAATAAGCTTGGAATTTTTGGATCTATCCGGTAACAATCTGTCCGGAGACATTCCCAAGTCCTTAGAAAAACTCAGGTATCTTCAATTTTTGAATGTGTCCTTCAATAGATTGCAAGGAAAAATTCCTACAGGAGGTTGTTTCAATAACTTTACAGCTCAGTCATTTATGTATAATGATGCACTCTGTGGTGTATCCAGACTACAAGTCCCGTTGTGCAAAACCAACACGCTCCAACGATCAAAGTCAAAAATTGTGCCTCTATTGAAATACATTTTACCCACTATAGTAGCATCAGCAATCCTTGTGCTGGCCCTTCTATTTGTGTTGATAAGGCGCAAGAAAGATAATTCCAGATTACCTACCCAAATTGATTCAGTGCCTTTTGCATGGAGAAGGATTTCATACCATCAGCTTCTGCAAGCAACAAATTCATTTAATGAAACGAACCTACTTGGTAAGGGGAGTTTTGGTTCTGTTTATGGTGGAACGCTTTCAGATGGGACAAATATTGCAGTAAAGGTTTTTAATTTGCAATCAGAAGCAGCATTCAGGAGTTTTGATGTCGAATGTGAGGTAATGCGTAATATTCGCCATCGAAACCTTACTGAAATCATCAGCAGCTGCACGAACATGGATTTCAAAGCCTTGGTACTCGAGTACATGCCCAATGGGAGCCTTGAGAAGTGGTTATATTCTCACAACTATTGTTTGGATATCCTACAACGGTTAAACATAATGATAGATGTGGCATCAGCCTTGGAATATCTACATCATGGTCATTCAACTCCCATTCTTCACTGTGATTTGAAGCCTAGCAATGTCCTGCTCGACGAAAATATGATTGCACATATTGCTGATTTCGGTATTGCCAAACTCTTGGGTGATGGGGATTTTATGGCACAAACCAGGACTTTGGCAACAATTGGTTATATGGCACCAGGTAAAGTTAATTTCATTTCATGTTCAAGTTTTCTTATTAATTTTTTAAATTTTGTAGTTGTCCTTTTTACTGTTAGAATTTAGCTTCATTTTATGGTTTTATAGTAAATGTTAATGTCAAGCACAGAGTACGGGACTGAAGGAATAGTATCTACAAAAGGCGATGTCTACAGTTATGGTATCATGTTGATGGAAGTATTCACAAGGAAAAAGCCAACCGATGACATGTTTGCTGGAGAGATGAGCTTGAAGCGTTGGGTGAAGGAAGCATTACATGATTCTCCATTTGCAGTTTTGGACGCCAATTTGATAGGAAGAGAGGACAAACATTTCCTTGTGAAGGAGCAATGTATATCATCAGTCTTGAGTTTGGCCATGGATTGTTCAAATGATTCACCTGAGAATAGGATCAACATGATTGATGCCTTGATCGTACTTGAGAAAATTAAAACCACATTTGTAGCAAACAGTGGATAGGCTCGAAAGGTAAATTTATTGAAAATAACAGATATCAAGTTTAGTAGTAGTATTTTCTACACTACACTTGCCTTTTTAGGAAAGCAATGTCTGTTTTTCTTAAGCAAGTTCTACTTCTTTCCACTTAAAACTTTCTTTCCTTTTTTTTACTGTATTCCACTTCTAAGTTGGAGATGAAGCATGTAAATGGGAGAATGTCGGCCAAAAGATCGTCTGTTTTACGTTTTACCTTTCAAAACACACACTACTACTTATTCGTGTTTTTTCTTTCTTCTCTCTCTACTAGTCTCGAAAGCTTGACCAATAACTTGAGAGTTAAGGCCCAAACATGAAATCTTATTTGTACGAGCACCATCAGGCAAAGAAATATATTCAATTAAGAATGGCAATGCAGAGAATATATGTTTAGCACAATATTTAGGATGGGTTACCAATGTGTTCCGTTCCTAAAGCTATAATATCATCGTCATCAAGATGAATTGATGTTAAATCAATAAATATTCAAACCAGGATCCAATATAATTGGTTATGTAGATGGCAATAACTATCAGAGAATTGCCACTTGCAAATTGCAACATCCACATTCATGCACCCGAAAAAGTTGAGTACCATAGTGAAGCCTCCGTTAAAAAAAACAATTTATTGACACAAGATCGTAGTAAGACAAGCAGCTAAAGTTCCTTTGTCTTCTGTTTAAGGAACAAGTACCTCAATGTATAATAAGAAGTACATTGTAAGGGCCAGGGCATTAGCTAGACAGTGAAGGGGGAAAAAAATTTAATACAGAGTAATAAAAGACACAAAGAAAGAAGGAAAATTTGCAAACACAAAAGCTTCATAAATGGCCAATTGGAATAGAATTACCTGGTAGTCGCCCTCCTAGGAAAAACCAGAGACGAAATCTTTGGCAAGTATCCCCCCTTGAACTCTTGCGACTTGGAACGAGCAATGGCCTCATGCAGTTGTAACCAAAAGAAGAAGAAACCCAAAATAAAAGATGGCATAAGAAGGTGCGTAACATAACATTGATGCTATATTTGGCCGCACAGAATCGGACCTTTGAATTTGGAATTGGAGAAAATTTAGTATAAATTTTGAACTAAACTTGCAAGGTATCAATGCAGGGCTACCAAACATAACATGAATGTCTTTTGTATCTAGTAAGTATGAAAGTACCCACTAATTACAAATTGCTCGTCATACTTCACCTGCAGAGTATATATTAGGCTCACAAGTTACTGATAGAGCACAGCCCTCTTAAAACACTATTTGTGGCATTGATTCAATCCAGGCTCTCAAGGACAACGGGAGCAACCCAACCACGGGGCTACTAAGGCGTTCGCCTGTAACATGCATATTGGGTGTCCAAAACAGGGTTATACTTGTTACCACAAACAAAAAGAAATTATAGCTTCTCACTGCAGTTTCCTTGTGTGTGCATGGTAAACCAGGATCAAAATTGTATATATTGCCAGGGAAAAAAATAAAAATAAAAATAAGATCAAAATTATAAGCAAAATGGCTTTCCAACTTTTGAATTTTCAGTTTCATTTGTTGCTTGCCTCTCTCAAAATTGTCCACCAATGGCAAAAGGCTCTCAGTCACTTGCCAGAATTTATCGCTGCTTTTAAAGCTCAAACTTTCTGGACAAATTTTTTTTTTACTCTTTTACTCATCTTCTTCAAATTTCTTCGATTCCCTCTTCTCTAATCAAACCCTAACTTTATGGACAAATTTTTTTTTTTTTTAACTCTTTTACTCACCTTCTTCAAATTTCTTCGATTCCCTCTTCTCTAGTCAAACCCAAACTTTTTCCCCTTCCTCTTTTTTTTTTATTTTTTTTTATTTTTTATCCTTTTCTTGTCTTCCCTTTTTTATTACTTCCTCAAAATTTATTCTTGTTGTGCTTGTGCATCCATTTTTATCCTTGATGGAACTTAAACCCGACAAATAAATATCACTATCCCATAACTGTGGATGTTATTTTCTTAAATAAAAAAATAAAAAAAAATTACTGAAATTTATTTTATTTTTTTTTATATATATATTGCAAATAATGATAGTTATTTGATTTTTTTATTATTGCACCGTTCTGCACTGCACTTTTACTTTTGATATTGTATTATTTTATATATATATATTGCAAATAATGATAGTTGTTTGAATTTTTTATTATTGCATGCACTGCACTACTACTTTTGATTGCTTCTTCACCGTCTAAAAGTGTTTTAATTTTAAAAAATTACGTTTAAATGTATTTGGTAATTATTAAAAATATTTTTAATTATTACCAAATTTAACTTAGTAAAGCTTTAAATTAAGTTATGAGTATTCATATTAAAAAATATTATTGTAAAACCAGCAATAAAAGTGTTTAAACAAATATTGTTATTAAATAAATTAAAAAATAATTTAAGTGTGAAAAGTACTTATTATAATATATATCACCAAACACCCAATATACTTTTTCATGATTCCAATTTTTTGACAGCTCTACTAATAATTTTTTTTTTTTTTTTTTTTTTTTTTTATTCCAAGAGCTCTTAGTTGTCTTGGTAATTGTAGGAAAAAAAAATTATATTCAATTTGCTATTTGGAACAAATTCATGGTTCCACTTCCAGCACTGAATTCAACAAAGATAGCAACTTGGTTCCAAAAACCAAAAAAAAAAAGAAATTGCAGCGATTTGGTATTGTTGGACTTGTCACAAAATCCATTAGATGACACACCCCAAATTTCAGTAGGGAATTTGTCTGATTCTCTTTGGGTGTTTGGAGCATTTGAATGCAAAATGAAGGGAAACCATCCCAGTGAAATGGATAATTTGAGTATATCATACATAGTGCAATAACATGAAAGGGGCATTTTTGTCTCAAATAATAATCTGTCACCTCTCCTCTTAGTTAAGGGTATTACAAGTCAAGGAGGAGTTTTTACAAGCCAGTCAGAACTCAAATGATATCTCTTTTATCTTTTGGGTTGGACGGTGAGGGTTGAAGAGGCAAACAAATTTCTTATCAATGAAAAAATAAATAAATAAGAGGTCAATATCTTCATACTTCTTTTACTGACTACAGAAATGATTATTGAATTAAGGCTCTCTAGCCGCCTATTTTTCCTAATTTTTATAAATTTATAAAATTAATCATGACCAAAACTGATTAATTAAACATGGGAGTGGTAGAGGAGTTACATGGTTGATAGCAAAACAACCATGAAAATTTAATCAATCCAACCACACGAAAGAAAATGTTCCTGAAAATAAAAAATATAAATATAAATATAAAATATAAAAATATAAAAACAACTAAATTAGCTAAAAAAATGAAAAATTATCACATATGAAACCCACATCAATCATACAACCAAAGCCTTGACCTTAGTGGTATGTCTACCGAAAAAGGACGTGTGTAAATAAACTTACCCACGAAAATAATAATTATTATTATAAAAGGTCGTTCTAAAATTCCAATCCAACAGTTCCGTGTTTATTTTAAAAAAATATAAAAACTGGCAAGGAAAAAAAATTACAAAGACCAAAGGATAACAATCCATAGCTGCAATATTTTCAAGAAAAAAAGGTGGGCCTTTCGAAAGCAAGTGAGAAACCAAACCCTGCAATAGCATTTGCAACTACTAAAATACATATAGTCACTGACCTAGAGAGGATGAACATTTCTCTTGGCAATGTGTAACATCTAACATGAAATATTTTACTATTTAAAGGTTTAAAGTACAAGATGAGCGCTATATTTTTTAAATTCTGCACCTATAGTTCAAAAGTATCAGTTTGAAAGGAAAAAAAAATGTCAAAAAAAGTGGAGGCTAACTCAATCAAATAATGCAGCTATCACTTATCCTATCAAGTAAATAAATAAACTAAGAAAAAAAAAAACAAAAATCAACTATGCCATGTGCTTGGCCTTCATGAACATCCCATGTAGACACTCAAATCTCTATCTTAACAAGTAGACATAATAAAAAAACATATGAATATACATTGTTCGAAACAAGTTGGTAGTTTTTCAGGAACCCCAATCTCAACTTTAACAGGTAAACAAAAACACAAACGTCCAAGTCAATTATTATATATGCTCAGTAGTTAAAAGGTGCGTGTGAACGCGCCCATGGTGTATGTATGATGGTTGTTGGACAAGGATGCGAACGCGCCCATGGTGTGAACGCCTGTTAACGCACCCATGGTGTGTGTGTGTGTGAACGCGCCCATGCTTTGGCAGCCGAATCTGAATTTCAACAAGTTGACATTACTGGTAGCTGCAAATTCCATAAAACAATGCACCTACTGATTTCCAGGTTAAAAAATTAAAAAGTAGTAAAGAAAAAAAGACCATACTGACGTGCTTGGCTTTTGAGACCATGGTTTATCCACTTTCAAATGCATTATGATTTCACTATCTTATATAATGCCTCACCAATCAATCCTTATTAGAAGTCATAAGCTAAATCTACTTAACTTCATGGCAAAGAATTGCTTCTTTTTTTCCATTGCAGTGTCGTTAAACTGTTTTATTGTTTGCCTAGCTACAACCATAACTACTAACTTGACTACAGATCAATCTGCACTTCTTGCCTTCAAAGCCCATATCACTTCTGACCCTGAAAATGTATTGGCCAAAAACTGGTCCACCACTACCTCAGTTTGCAACTGGACTGGTGTCTCCTGCAGTCTCAGCAACCAAAGGGTCACAGCCTTGAATCTCTCTGATATGAGTCTCAGTGGCACCATCGCTCCACATCTTGGGAACCTCTCATTTCTCACATCTCTTGACATCAGTTACAATAGTTTCAATGGTCATATACCCGAAGAGTTGGCTAGTTTGGATCGATTACTAGAGATCGATTTTCAATACAACAACTTCAGTGGAGAGGTACCATCATGGTTTGGGATCTTATCAGAACTTCAACACTTGCTTCTATCTAATAACAGTTTCACAGGTACCATTCCACCATCAATATTCAACATTTCAAAGCTAGAGACGTTGAAAATAAGCTACAATTCTCTTCATGGTAATATTTCACAAGAGACCAGTAATCTTTCCAACCTGAAAGTATTAGACTTGAGTTTTAACAAGCTTACGGGCTCCATACCATCTGCTATCTTTAAAATGTCTTCACTGCAAGTAATTGATCTCACCGCTAATAGCCTTTCTGATAGTCTCCCAATAGATATGTGCACTCATCTTTCTTTGCTTCAGCGACTCCGCCTTTCTTTTAATCAGCTGCATGGGCAAATTCCATCTGGCTTATACAAGTGCAGAGAGCTCCAACATCTATCAATGTCCAATAACAACTTTAGTGGCACCATACCTAGAGAAATCGGCAACCTGACAATGTTAAAGGTGTTGAATCTTGGTTGGAACAACCTCAAAGGTACGAGTTCACTTTCATGTCTAACTAAATAGCTACAAAAAATTAGAAGCAGAATGAAAAGTTCACCTGAGGATAAAAATTTATAAACTTCTTTCAATAATATTTATACAAAATACTAGCTGAATACTGAATAATGTGTCTTTTATACCCTTTTTTTCTCTGGTTATACATATCACAAGGGTGTACTAAGTTTACTTGTAATCATCTATACAAGGCATTTACCATTGTAGTGAATCGCTTGTACTAGCTGAATACTAGCTGGGTCATTACCATTGTAATGACCAGAACTCCCTGAAACAAAGCCCCTTAAGGACCCCATCCCATGGTGCCAAACTGAGGGTAATGTAGCACAGCCCCATAGCCACACACCGGATGAGAACATTTTTGTCTTGCTTCTTATAATTTTGCAGGTGTAATTCCATCAGAGATGGGTAATCTTAAATGGCTGGAAGGATTGATATTATCAACTGGTGCTCTAACGGGGTCAATTCCGTCTTCCATCTTCAATATTTCATCATTGAGATCAATTGATTTCACCAACAATCACCTCTCTGGAAGCCTCCCAATGAACATTCAATATGATCTCCCGATTCTTGAAGAGCTATATCTTATGACAAATTGCCTCAGTGGTCAAATTCCATCCAAATTAGGGGAATGCAGAGGGCTTCGAGTATTAGCATTGCAGGAAAACAAATTCACTGGAAATATACCAAAGGAATTTGGGAACCTTACATCCCTCAAAGTTCTAGGTCTCTATGATAACAACTTGACAGGTAACTCCAGTACCTAATTGTCTTTTAGTAATTTATATTAATAAATGTACTGTATATCTCTTGCACGTGTACATGATATTTGCATCTAGATCCACTTTCTAAGCACCATAACTTCAATTATAAAATAAGCTAGTAACGTGCCTGTGGTTAAAATATCCTCCTCAACAAAGTCATATATTAAAATAAACCATTGTCTGTGTTCCTTGGGTGGGGCTGACAAGGAAATTGCCTGAGGGATATCTAATAATATGAAAATAGAAATTGAAGTATAATAAATTTCTCTTTACAATAGAATTCTTAATATAAACAAAATCCAAGATAAGATCATCTATAAATTAAAACTAATTGATAACTCCTTGGGTGCACATAAGAATATATTTGATCAATTTTGACACAGATATGTAGATAAATAGACAAAAAATGTAACGACTCGAAAATTGTAATACAATAATCCTCAAATACATCAAAAATCCCCAATGATTACAAATAAAAATAACCTCCATAATACAAAAGATCCTCCAATATATAAGAATCAAAATCCTAAAAAAATATACATGTCTAATTAATCTTCAAATAGACATAAAAATCCCGCAACACAGCTCCTCTCTAAACCTGCAACTAGCAATCCTCAAACCTCTTTATACCTGAAATTGAAGGGTGGTGAAACAAGAAGTCCAATAAGAAAAACCATAACATGAATTTCATAGAAGTTTAACGAAACAGCTTCACAAAATGTACATATTCATGTGAATATATAAACAAAATACATATGCATTTAATCAAAACATTTAATAAAAACCATTTAAAGCAAAATTACCCCAAGCCATTCAAAGTATAGAGAACCCTACCCAAACAAATATTTTCCTCACTGGATCATCTTCTCCAACTCTTGGCCCTATGTGAAAATCTCGGTTGTCTCTGTACTCAAACTTTCTCTATCTGTTTCCTTACTTTCTCTTCTTATAAATTCTAACTCTCCCTTTATCTGATTGCTCACACAGACCCAAAACACACCTCATATATAGATGCATTTACCAATACAATGTCTCACGCAAGACAAATGCCAAATCAATGGTTTGGCACAATAATTCAACAGCGGACCCCACCATCATCATTAGTTTCCTTTTCATTTCTTTGCCTCCACATGCACCTGGGTTCGCAGTATCGGTCACGGTGCGGTGTAACGGATTCGAACAAAGTTGGTATAAACTGGCCTATACGAGTCGCGTATCGGACTTGAAAAATGGTCGCGTATCGTCAGATACGGCGAACCATGGTTCGCAGTATCGATCACGGTGCAATGTAACGAACTCGGACAAAATCAGTATAAACTGACCAATACAGATCACATATAGAATTTGAAAAAGGGTCACGTATCGACCGATACATCGTTTATCGAACGATACGACAAACCAAGACACCATCATCTCACCCATATCAATTACAGTATTACAAATATATATATATACACATATATGCTACGTGAGTATCACCAAAACTAAAGGAATCTCACTAAAAACAAACACAAAAGACAAAAGATCTCTAATCCATTAAAACAATATAATGAACAAAAACCAAAACAAATAATCTCTCTCAATTAACAAAATAAACCACAAAAAAATCAGTATAATAAAAATCAAGCTTTGAAAATCCAGGTTGTCACATTCTCCGCCACTTAAAAAGAATTTCTTTCCCGAAATTTAGATCCAACAGTTTTCGCATATCCAAAAACATCAACAATCACAAAACAAAATCCATAAATCATTACCCAAAGCGATGTGAGATATCGTGACATGTAAAACGTGTTGGTAGCTGACAGTGCTAGTCACCCACCCACACACTCCGCAAATGTTGTGGTAGCTAATCGATGTCGTCACCTTCCCACTCAAAATAAAACCAATAACAAACAAGGGCCATATGCCCATTCACAATAACTAACCATCCCCATTAGCTAGCCAGTGAACGACATCCGCCCACACACACCCAGCTACGAGTGGTAGCTAGCCGATACTAAAAACTCACTCATTCACACCATCTACATCATCACTACACTCACACTTCCAGCTAGGTATAGGCTCAGATACTATACTGTAACGACCCAAAAATTCTAATACAATCCTCAAATACATCAAAAATCCCCTACAATCAAAAATAAAAATGACATCCATAATACAAAAGATCCTCCAACATACAAGAATCAAAATCCTAATAAAAAATACATGTCTAATTAATCTTCAAATAGACATAAAAATCCCGCAACACAACTCCTCTCTAAACCCGCAACTAACAATCCTCAAGCATCTTTGGTACCTGAAACTGGAGGGTGGTGAGACAAGAAGTCCCACTAAAAAAAAAACACAATAAGAATTTCATGAAAGTTTAACAAAATAGCTTCACAAAATATACATATTCATGTGAATATATAAACAAAATACATATGCATTTAATCAAAACATTTAATAAAAACCATTTGAAGCAAAATCACCAATATTTGGTACAATAATTCAACAGCAGACCCCACCATCATCATTAGTTTCCTTTTTATTTCTTTGCCTCCATGTGCACCACCATCTCACCAATATCAAATACATACGGAGTTATATGATACGTAACTATCACCAAAACTAAAGGAATCCCACTAAAAATGGGTGAAGTGCAAAAAAACACTGCTATAGTTTGAAAATTGTGCAAATAACACCCCTCGTGTTCAAATCACACCCCCCGTACTATGAAAAGTGAGCAAATGAGGGCTTATTGTCAGGTAAATAAAGTGAGATAGGCAAACAAACTAAAATGCCCTTCACTATACATATAACAAAAAGAATTAAAAAATCTTAAAAGAGGAAATTACCTCAAAGGACCCGTGGGGATACGACACCGTTTATTTAGTCCAACAAATATAATCATCTCCCACAAACAACGCACCATCACTGTAATCGCCCCTACCACCACCATCCCCACCCCGCAACCACGAACACACAGGCACCACCACAGCCCACCACCACCACAATCCCCTTCCCACAACCATAATAAAATATAAAAAAAAACACCTATCCACAGTCACCTATCCACCGCCGGCGCCGCCACAGCACTCACCGGAAACTGCCATCATCAATGCACTTTTCCCGATCTATTTCTTGACACTGTATTCCGGCAAAAATCTAGCCTCAAGAACCATAATCATTGTAACAACGCAAATCTGTGGATCCGAATCATTAATCAGGTACCAACCCAACTCGAGGGAACTAAGGGCAAAATGGTCATTATATAACTTTCCATATTCTAGGAGTCATAATGATGGCACACCAATCGTTTCCAACCAAATCGGATCATGAAATAGTGATAACCTCAACTACGGGCTCACTCTAGGTCCCTAGAGTTAATAAGGGTAAAATGGTCCTTTCATGTAAAAATTATGGAATGAGACCTACACCATTAGAAAGATGACTAAAAAACGTGCAAGTTGGACTCAAGAATGACCCTATTTAGGTTTAAAACGAAGAAATTATGGGTGTTCAAAGTTCAGAGACAATTTTTTTAAAAAATGGAAAATGGGGGATCGATCCCCCTTGGTGGGGGATCGATCGCCCACCCCCGGTAGATCCCCCCTTCTGTTTTGGAGGGGGGGATCGATCCCACTTGGTGGGGGATCTATCGCCCACCCCCTGGCAGATCCCCCCTTCTATTTTGGAGGAGGATCAATCCCCACTGATTTAAAAAAAAAAAAAGTGGGGTTGGACCCTTTTTGCCCCTTTTTGAATGGTTCCTCTTCCCGAGCTATAATTTGGTCATTTTGACCATTCAACACCTGTCCAAACTCATGAAAATAATGTGCTAAACATCACCATGCATTAATATACATAGAAATTAACAACATAATGCAATGATCCATATAAGATCATTTCTGATGCATCCATCATTGCTACTATACTAATGTACGTCATTATCGTCATTTACATATCCCAAAATATATATAAAGGTAGTCCAAAAGAATATGGTTACATGGTCAAGGCCTTTGTGGCCACGAATACAATGCCTTATATAGTTTCAACGAATAGTAGTCTCTTTACAAAATAGTCGTCATAAACTAAGCATTGATACAAAAACTACAAAAAGAATAGTACTTCGCCTACACCTTCATTTGTGAAGGTGCGTCGTTCACTACATCCTTACCATGACCTGAAAATATTGAAGGAAGGGGTGAGCACCGGGCTTAGTAGGAGATGTCTAAAACACTGACTTTAGACTCCCTTGAGTCAAACAAATAATGAATGGGAAAAATAGTGTTCGGGATCATACTTGGGAATCTTAACAATATAATAACAAAACACTTTACCCCAAAAGACATTCTTTACATAATTTGAATATGCACAAGTATGAAATGAATGCTATGAAGATGCTATACTCTCCCGACTTCAATCCCAAACCAACACAAGTCACACCGAAACTGCTAACCAACTTTACCAAGGCGAGATTGATCAACTATCCTGGTCTCAAATCTGACGACCATTTGAGGCCTAGTTAATTCAATTTTTCACGTCCAAATCCGGCACGTGCTCCCTCTAGGTTGAATTAGCCCCGAACTCGCGATATCTGGTTCTTTTCTAAAAATCCTTTTTCAAACTTCTTGAAAATTCATTCCACTTGATAAACCAACTCAACTCAACCCCATGACCATGCCAATGTCATGCATGCAACTAGTAAATCAATGTGATCATTGAACAAGATTCTTCATCATGAAATCAAGTAATTCATGATATCCCATTTTACTCATTCATGTTTTCCATATATAAGATACTTTATCAACAACAATCTAACATGGTAATCATCATTTCACCATTTTATATTAGAGTCATGTTTAACTTTTCAAGGGCATTTCAAGTTCACAAAACATGCATATAAGTTAAATAAATATATTCAAATTCATTTCATCACATAAATGCACATGCTTAAGAAATTTACACACTTTAGCACCAAGATATACAAGTTTCATCACATACAGATACCATTGTCAACTAAGAACCTTAACCTATGATATGTATAACAATACATAATCAACTTGGCCGCTCAAATCATGAAATTAACATCATAAAACTCAATGGAAGGCAAAGAAAGATGGATTAGACACCCCTACCTCAAAGGAAGCCAACCAAACAAGCCCTAAGCCACACATAATTTCGAAATCCCCAAAATGCTAACAAGATTGCTCTCCAATGAAAGCTCCTGATGTGTAGATTAAAACACCCTTCTTGCTCCTTCCCAAAATCTAACCCTAAACCCCTCAAAATTGGCCTTAAGGCTTGAAGGAGGTGTATAGATATATGGATATATAGAGAGAGAAGAAAAGCTAGAGAGAGAGACTCATTTGCCGAAATAAGGAGGAAGATGAATTGGTTTAACAAATCAAAATGAGTATGTGTCCCTCATTTTGCCACTTGTCACAATTTGCTTGATTACTAATTTTGTGTGAAGTTACTCTAGTGTCCCTCTCCTTCCTCACAAATCCCGAATGATCCCTAAAATATCTCCCTCTACGCTAAAGATACATGTATGAATATATGCAAAAAGTCCACAACACCCCTATATAAGGGCCAAAACCGGGAGAGGTTCCCGAGCCCAGAAGTCGTTCCGACTTCAAAGTTTCTAAAAATGGCACCACCACTTCTAAATGACTTAAAATAATTAAAAATACATTTCTAGAACTTTCAGCTCAAGAAAATAACTTAAATGACCCTCGAGGCCCGCGTGGCGTGCAAAACTAGGCACAGAAAATAAATTAATTAAAATTTTGAAAAAAAATTCAGAAAAAATTTGGGACATTACAATTACCTTCCTCACCCTCACAACCATCGCAACCACTGTGTATTCCGGCAAAACAACCATGCCCAAGGTCTCACAATGGTAGCATGGTTCAGACGACGAAACAGCAACATGATTCACGTGGGCGGCATGGTTTAGCCGGTGACACCTACAGTCTTCGGCGTGATCTCAACTCTTCCATCGTTGTCTCAATGATAAACAAATCGATTTACTCCTGCCATCGTCGCTTGATCAAGATCTTCACCAAATAAAAAACAAGGGTATCAATCATCTCCCACAACCATGGCATGATCTCAACTCTTTCATGAAGAGGATCGAACATGTTGGTCACTTTACTTCAAAAATCGCCTCCCACCGTTGATGTCCCCAAAGAAAAAGACGATCTTCATCGACCTAGACGAGACTCTAGTTCACTCCACGCAGGATCTACCGCCGGAAAAGTACGATTTCATTGTCTGGTCGACATGAGGGTGTAGAGAGAGAAGAGTAAAGTGAGAATATGTAAAGTTAATGTGTAAAGATTATTGATGAGGTGTAATTTTTCTGGACAGATGGATGGCTAGGATTGTCCGGGACCATAGCTGAGGTGGTGCACCGGACTACCTAATAATTTCTCATTGAGGGGTAGTTTGGGAAGTCCAAAAAGGTAGTGTTGGTATTTAGGGACATTTTTGGGCCACATGACCTACACATGTCACTTTTTGGAGTCAGAATCCCTCATTTGCTCACTTTTCATATTACGGTGTGATTTGAACACGAGGGTGTTATTTGTACATTTTTCAAACTACAGGGGATTTTTTGTACTTCGCCCAACTAAAAACAAACACAAAAGACGAACTATCACAAACTTAATCAATTACCCATCTCCTTCCTCCAAATTAGGACACGTAACCCATTAAAATAAAATAATGAACAAAAACCAAAATAAATAATATCTCTCAACTAACAAAATAAACCCCAAAAAAATCTGTATAATAAAAATCAAGCCCTGAAAATCTAGGTTGTCACCAAAAAAATTAAAAAATAAAAAATAAAAAAAATAAAATAAAATAAAAAGAGGTAAAATGAGATATGTATACAACTATACAAGTAATGTTCTGACTTTATGAACTTATTTTTTTTTTTTTTAAATGTAAGCTTGTAAGACCAAAAGATCCTAAAATTAGATTCTCTATGGGTTTGGAGGACCACATGTTAAATGTTTAAGTGTTTTCTATTTCAACTATTCATAGTAACCTATTTATTATGATTTTTTTCTTTTTTTTGGGACGAGGAGGTGCATAACCCCAGGTCTTTTATAAAAGAGAACAATTATGTGAAGAGCGACAATTTGCTCTATTGCAAACAGGCGCATTGTAAACAAAGATAAGCAGCAATAAAATTATCCCTATTGGGATAACCATATTTGTGTTGATGTGGCACAATTGCGAGACCCACATCATATAATAATTGAGGAACAAAAATCGCTTCAATGCAACTGTGTATTTTTTTTTTTTTTTTACCAGAATGCAAGTGTGTGATTATTTTAAAATACGCCCATCAGGGTAAAGCTTAATGAATAATAAAATGGTGTTCATGTTGTGCTAGGTACATTGCCAGAACAAATTGGAAATCTTGATCTTGAGAGATTGTATGTTGCTGTAAACAGGTTAACTGGCCCCATTCCATTCAAAATATTCAATGTGTCAACCATAAAACTCCTTGATCTGGGATTTAATCACTTCTCAAGCCGTCTTCCTTCAGACATGGGGCTTTGGCTTCCCAGTCTTGAAGAGCTTTATCTGGGCAATAATAAACTCAGTGGAGAAATCCCAAGCTCTATCTCCAATGCCTCTAAGCTTATTCTCCTACATTTGTCTACCAACTCATTCAGCGGTTCTATACCATATTCGCTTGGTAGTTTAACATTACTACAACGGCTCTACATTGCTCAAAATAATTTGACAAGGGAATCTTCTACTCCAGAATTAAGATTTTTAACTTCTTTGACCAATTGCAGACATTTGGAAAAATTGAGCATAGCATTAAATCAATTTAATGGCATACTCCCGGATTCAATTGGGAATTTGTCTACTTCTCTTCAAATTTTTCAAGCATTTGGATCAAAAATCAAGGGCAGCATTCCTAGTGGAATCGGCAATTTGAGTGGCTTAGGACATCTAAGCATGGATAGCAACGAGTTGACCGGACCTATCCCACCAACAATCGGAAGGTTACAAAATCTCGTACAACTGTATCTTGAACACAATAGACTACAAGGACCCATTCCAAATGATCTCTGCAAGTTAACCATGCTCGGAGACATTTACGTAAGTAACAATAACCTTTATGGACCGATACCAACATGCTTCGGAGAACTCAAGTCCCTAAGAAGACTCTACTTAGACTCCAACAACTTGACTTCCATGATACCCTCAAACTTGTGGAGCCTTCATAACCTGTTGGGTCTAAATTTATCCACAAATTCTCTGAGAGGCAATCTACCATTAGAAATCGGGAATTTGAAGGTCATAACACAATTAGACTTGTCATGGAACCAGTTATCAGGTGACATCCCTAGCACCATTGGAGGCGCTCAATCATTAGTAAATTTATCCTTGGGGCATAATAAACTACAAGGACATATTCCTCAATCACTGAGCAACTTAATAAGCTTGGAATTTTTGGATCTATCAGGTAACAATCTGTCCGGAGACATTCCCAAGTCCTTAGAAAAACTCAAGTATCTTCACTATTTGAATGTGTCCTTCAATAGATTGCAAGGAGAAATTCCTACAGGAGGATGTTTCAAGAACTTTACAGCTCAGTCATTTATGTATAATGATGCACTCTGTGGTGTGTCCAGACTACAAGTCCCGCTGTGCAAAACCAACGCACTCCAACGATCAAAGTCAAAAATTGTGCCTCTATTGAAATACATTTTACCCACTATAATAGCATCAGCAATCCTTGTGCTGGCCCTTCTATATGTACTGATGAGGCACAAAAAAGATAATTCCAGATTACCTACCCAAGCTGATTCAGTACCTCTTACATGGAGAAGGATTTCGTACCATCAGCTTCTGCAAGCAACAAATGCATTTAATGAAACGAACCTACTTGGGAAGGGGAGTTTTGGTTCTGTTTATGGTGGAACGCTTTCAGATGGGACAAATATTGCAGTAAAGGTTTTTAATTTGCAATCAGAAGCAGCATTCAAGAGTTTTGATGTCGAATGTGAGGTAATGCGTAATATTCGCCATCGAAACCTTACTGAAATCATCAGCAGCTGCACGAACATGGATTTCAAAGCCTTGGTACTCGAGTACATGCCTAATGGGAGCCTTGAGAAGTGGTTATATTCTCACAACTATTGTTTGGATATCCTACAACGGTTAAACATAATGATAGATGTGGCATCAGCCTTGGAATATCTACATCATGGTCAGCCAACACCCATTCTTCACTGTGATTTGAAGCCTAGCAATGTCCTGCTCGATGAAAATATGATTGCACATATTGCTGATTTCGGTATTGCCAAACTCTTGGGTGATGGGGATTTTATGGCACAAACCAGGACTTTGGCAACAATTGGTTATATGGCACCAGGTAAAGTTCAATGCTTGTAATTTCAATTCAAGTTCAAGTTTTCTTATTAATTTTTTAAATTTTGTAGTTGTCTTTTTTACTGTTAAAATTTAGCTTCATTCTATGATTTTATAGTAAATGTTAATGTCATGCACAGAATACGGGACTGAAGGAATAGTATCTACAAAAGGCGATGTCTATAGTTATGGTATCATGTTGATGGAAGTATTCACAAGGAAAAAGCCAACGGATGACTTGTTTGCTGGAGAGATGAGCTTGAAGCGTTGGGTGAAGGAAGCATTAGATGATTCTCCATTTGCAGTTTTGGACGCCAATTTGATAGGAAGAGAGGACAAACATTTCCTTGTAAAGGAGCAATCTATATCATCAGTCTTGAGTTTGGCCATGGATTGTTCAAATGATTCACCTGAGAAAAGGATCAACATGAATGATGCCTTGATTGTACTTAAGAAAATTAAGTCCACATTTGTAGCAAACAGTGGATAGGCTTGAAAGATAAATTTATTGAGAATAACAGATATCAAGTTTAGTAGTATTTTCTACACTACACTTGCCTTTTACGGCAAGCAATGTCTGTTTTTCTTTGGAAGCAAGTTCTACTTCTTTCCACTTAAAATTTTCTTTCCTTTTTTACTGTATTCCACTTTTAAGTTGGAGATAAAGCATGCAAATGGGATAATATTTGGCCAAAAAATCATCCATTAAACGTTTTACCTTTCGAAACACACTACTTCTTATTTGTATTTTTTCTTTCTTCTCTGTCTACCAATCTCGATACCTTGACCATTAAGGCCCAAACATGAAATCTTATTTGTATGAGCACCATCCGCAGAATTTTAGGACCATCTGTATTCAGGCCAACTCTTCTAGGAAGGTCATATGAAAGGATCATAGTTTTAGGGTGGACTATATTTTAACACTGATAGGATAAGCTTATTAAATTGCCAATGATAATCAGGAGTCAGATAGCATGTGATGTGATGTATGATCATGTTTTATATGCAGGAAATAAGGGAAAAATGAAGCTACACCATATACGAGATGATTAAAGTTCAGGCAATAAAAAAGTAGAAAGAAATGCACAAGCAAAGAAATATATTCAAATAAGAATGGCAATGCAAAGAATACATGTTTAAGAGCATAATATTTAGGATGGGTTACCAATGTGTTCCGTTCCTAAAGCTATAATATCATCGTCATCAAGATAAATTGAAGTTAAATCAGGAAATATTAAAACCAGGATCCAATATAATTGGTTATGTAAATAAAAATAACTCTCAGACAATTGCCACTTGCAAATTGCAACATCCACATTCATGCACCCGAAAAAGTTGAGTAATAAATACAGAAACAAAGAAAGAAAAAAAAATTGCAAACGTAAAAGCTTCATAAATGGCCAATTGGAATAGAATTACCTGGTAGTCGCCCTCCAAGGAAAAACCCGAGACGAAATCTTTAACAATTATCCCACTTTCGAATTCTTGCGACTCGGAATGAGCAATGGCCTCATGCAGCTGTAACCAAAAGAAGAAGAAACCCAAAATAAAAGATGGCATAAGAAGGTGCATAACATAACACTGATGCTATATTTGGCCACACCGAATCGGCACTTTGAATTTGGAATCGGAGAAAATTTAATATAAATTTTGAGATAAACTTCCTCCTATGCCACATCCAAGGCACCAATGTTGTGCTCCCAAACATAACATGAATGCCTTTTGTATCTAGTAAGTACACACTAATTACAAATTGCTCCTCATACTTCACCTGCACAGTATTTATTAGGCTCACAAATTACTGATAAAACACAGCCCTCTTAAAACACTATTTGTGACATTGATTCACCCAACCACTGGGCTACGAAGGCGTTCGCCAGTAACATGCATTTTGGGGTGTCCAAAAGAAGGTTATACTTTATGGTAGAGTAATTGTTACCACAAACAACAACTTATAGCTTCTCACTGCAGTTTCCTTAGTTTCATTTGTTGCTTGGCTCTCTCAAAATTGTCCACCAATGGCAAAAGGCTCTCAATCACTTCCCATAATTTATCGCTGCTTTTCAAGCTCAAACATTCTGGACCAATTCTTTTTTACTCTTTTACTCATCATCTTCAAATTTCTTCGATTTCCTCTTCTCTAATCAAACCCTAACTTCTTCCCCTTACTCTCCTTTTTTTTCTTTCTTTCTTTTCTTGTCTTCCCTTTTTTATTACTTCCTCAAAATTTCTTCTTGTTGTGCATCCATTTTTATTCTTAATGGAACTTAAAGCCGACAAAGAAATATCACTAACCTGTAACTCTGGATGTTATTTTACTCAATAAAAAATTACTGTAATTTATTTTATTTTATATATATATATATATATATTGCAAATAATGATGGTTGTTTAAATTTTTTATTATTGCACTGTTCTGCACTTATACTTTTGATTTGCTGCACTATTAATTGTCATGTTAATTGAAGAAAAAAATATATTATTATAATTATATTCAATTTGCTATCTGGAACAAATTCATGGTGCCACGTGCCAGCACTGATTTCAACAAAGATGGCAACTGGTTCCAAAAACAAAAACAATATTCCATCGATTCAAACGGTCTCAAAAATCCAACTACAGGAAATAAATAAATAAGAAGTCAATATCTTAGTTTCATCCTAATTTTTCCTAATTTTTTACAAATTTATAAAATTAATAATGACCAAAAGTGATTAATTAAACATGGGAGTGGTAAAGGAGTTACAGGGTTGATAGCAAAACAAAGAATCAATCCAACTACATGAAAGAAAATGTTTCTCAAAACAAACAAAAAACTATTTAATTTCTTGTTAGTGGATCGCCCAATTATTTTAGTTTGAGACTTTTACCCACAACTACTTTGGTACAAATGGTGAAGATTTCAAAGACTAGAGAGATTGTATGGGGTGTGGATTCATATAACTGATTTCAGAACCCCATCAATTGATATTTATATTTCATGCCATTTATATATTCTTCATTCATTGTGAACCAAATAGAAGTTGATACTTATATTTCATGTTATTTATATATTCTTCATTTATTGTGAACTAAATAGAGGTCAGTAACTCGCTCTTTTTCTCCTTTCTATTTAAAATTTGGGTCATGAATTTTTTTTTTTTGTCGTCCTGAGTTAAAACAAAATGGAGAGCTGCGGATGCTGCCGTATTACTGAAGTCAGTTAAAATAAAATGGACAGTGGCGGCATCTACCGGATTGCTCAACCAAGTCCCATGTAAATCCAAACTGAGTACATTTGAACGAATGGAAAGCTTTCGGCTCCCCATTATTCTTACAATGTACATTTTAATAGTATTAAAACAGATCAATCATACCACCGAAGCCTTCACCTTAGTGGTGTATCCTTCAACTCTAAAAAAGGAAGTCGCATTCAACCCAAAAGGGCTGTGTGTAAATAAACTTTACCCTATGAAAAAATAAAAAATTAATAAATGGTCGTTCTAAAATTCTAATCCACTAGATCCGTGTTTATTTTAAAAATAATAACAATAAAAATATATAAAAACTGGAAAGGAAAAACATTACAAAGACCAAAAGGATAACAATCTGTAGCTGTAAACATGAGAGTGAAGGTGGCCTTTCGAAAATTTAGCCACTTCATGAGCAAGTGAGAAACCAAACCATTTGCAACTACCAATGCATCACATTCAAACCACCAGTTTCGTATTCATTGTTAAAGATCAAGGAAAAAATATGCAAACTTTTCAAAACAATTTTTTTTGAAAACAAATATCAACTATGCCATGTGCTTGGCTTTCATGAACATCCCCTGTGGACACCCAAATCTCTATATTAACAAATAGACATATTAAAGAACATCATGAAAGCACAAGTTGACATATAAATATACAATGCACTGTCTCTTTCTTAGCAAATAGACATACTAAAGGGCATCACGAAAGCACAAGTTGACAAATAAATATACATTGTTCTAACCAAGTTGATAGTTTTTGACACCCCCATCTCAACTTTAACAGGTACACCAAAGCACAAACGTCCAAATCAATTTCAACATGCTCATTTATAAAAAGGTCTGTGTGTGTGTGTGTGTGTGTGTGTGTGTGTGTGTGAACGCGCCCATGGTGTGTGATGGTTGTTAGACAAGGGAAGGTATGCTTTGGCAGCCGAGTCTGAATTCAACAAGTTGACAGTACTGGTAGCTGCAAATTCCATAAAACATTGCACCTTCTGATTTCCAGGTTAAAAAATTAAAACGTAGTCGAGAAAAAAAGACCATACCTTGGACGTGCTTGGCTTTTGAGACCATGGTTTATCCACTTTCAAATGCATTATGATTTCACTATCTTATATAATGCCTCACCAATCAGTCCTTATTAAGTAATAAGCTAAATCTACTTAACTTCATGGCAAAGAATTGCTTCTTTTTTTCCATTGCAGTGTTGTTAAACTGTTTCATTGTTTGCCTCGCTACAACCATAACTACTAACTTGACTACAGATCAATCTGCACTTCTTGCCTTCAAAGCCCATCTCACTTCCGACCCAAAAAATGTATTGGCCAAAAATTGGTCCACCACTACCTCAGTTTGCAACTGGATCGGTGTCTCCTGTGGCCTCATCAACCAAAGGGTCACAGCCTTGAATCTCTCTGATATGAGTCTCAGTGGTACCATTGCTCCACATCTTGGAAACCTCTCATTTCTCACATCTCTTGACATCAGTTACAACGGTTTCAATGGTCATATACCTGAAGAGTTGGCTAGTTTGGATCGATTAAAAGAGATCGATTTGCAATACAACAACTTCAGTGGAGAGGTACCATCATGGTTTGGGATCTTATCAGAACTTCAACACTTGTTTCTATCCAATAACAGTTTCACAGGTACCATTCCACCATCCATATTCAAAATCTCAAAACTAGAGACATTGAGCATAAGCTCCAATTCTCTTCACGGAAATATTCCAGAAGAGACCAGCAACCTTTCCAACCTGAAACTATTAGACTTGAGTTTTAACAAACTCACAGGTTCCATACCATCCTCTATCTTTAACAGGTCTTCATTGCGAGTAATTGATCTCACAGCTAATAGCCTTTCTGATAGTCTCCCAATAGATATGTGCAATCATCTTTCTTTGCTTCAGCGACTCCTCCTATCTTCTAATCAGCTGCATGGCCAAATTCCATCTGGTTTATACAAGTGCAGCGATCTCCAACATTTATCAATGTCCAATAACAACTTTAGTGGCAGCATACCTAGAGAAATCGGAAACCTGACTATGTTAAAGGTGTTGAATCTTGGTCGGAACAACCTCAAAGGTACGAGTTCACTTTCATGTGTAACTAAATAGCTAGCTTTTTCAATCGTATTTATACAAAACACCAGCTGAATAGTGTGCTTTTATCCTTTTCTTTTTCTTTGGTGATAGTATATCACAAGGGTATACTGAGTTTACTTGTAATCACCTATACAAGGTATTTATATCATCA